ACGCTTCCCCGATTTTTCTCCTATTCGTCAGACGAGCCAAAATTTACCGTACCACTTACCATTTACACAGTAACACATAGCTTGCATTGCAGATAGGATATTGTTTCATACAGGTTCACAGCATTCCGAATCATCTTGGTGCACGATCGATAAAGACAGGTATTCATTCCCACGTCCGAGCTCGCACGAATCCAAAAGATACCGTGATGACACGCGCGAGCCGGACGCTGAACTCCTTCAGGCGCAACCGCTCGGACAACAACTGATTTGCCACAACGACGGAGGCATTACCCTCGGGTGCGCTTGTCCTCCATTGGCATTCCCCAACTGGCCTTCTACTCCAGAGGACGAGGACGGACTAGCTACACTAGCTGCAGTAGCTATGAAACTCAGCTCCGCGTTGGCGGCATTGGGGGCGGCGCTGCTGGCCGCGCCCTCCGCGGCGCAGACCACCACCACCACGACGGACGTGTACTACCCGACCGTGCTCAGCGCGGCCGGCAACGTGACCGGCCTGCCCGGCGGCAACGCGTTCTGCGACTCGTCCGCGCGCGTGCGCAAGCCCTGGGGCGCGCTTTCGAGCGACGAGCAGGCGCTGTACCTGGAGGCCACGGAGCTCGCCATCGCCGACGGCACCGTGGCCGAGTTCTCGGCCATCGCGGCCGACACGTTGGGCCAGGCGCAGGGCGAGTACTCGTGCGCCTTCTTCAGCTGGCACCGCCGCCTGCTGCTCGCCTACGAGTCGTACCTGCGCGACCTGGACGAGCGCTTCGCGTGCCTCACGCTGCCCTACTACGACGTGCACACGGCCTACGTGCAGGCCGCGAGCGGCCAGTGCAGCAACATGTTCGAGTGCAGCGGCATCTTCGGCGCCATCGGCGGCGCGCCCAACTCGACGGACGAGGAGGCCACGCTCACGTTCGACGGCGTGGACGTCACGGGCTACGCCGTGAGCGGCGCGCCCTACGAGAAGTCGTGCGACGACGACGAGACCTGCGGCTACATCGTGCGCGACGACCTGGCCAGCAAGCCCGTGCCCAGCGCGGCCAGCTTCGGCACGTTCCAGAGCGTCGTGGCCTCGTCGGGCGACTACGCGTCCTTCCTCGAGGGCATCCAGTACGGCGTGCACAACGAGGTGCTGGACGCCGTGGGCGGCGCCTTCTCCACGGCCGCGGCCGCGCGCGACGTGCTGTACTACTCGTGGTACTCGGCCGTCGACATGTACCTGCACGTGTACCACCTGTGCCGCATCGGCGTGCCGCTCACGTACGAGCAGGTCGTCGAGTCCCTTGAGGCCTACGCCAACGCCACGCAGACCTGCGGCGGCGTGGACGGCGTGGACGCCGAGTCGGCGCTCATCATGCGCATCTCGGTGGACGGCGAGCTCGTGGACGCGTCGCAGCACCCGACGCTGGGCCAGTACTTCGGCTACGTGGGCAGCGACAACTGGAACTACGCCGACATCCAGCAGCTCGGGGACTACTCGTACACGTACCAGCTCCCGGAGGTGCTGCGCCAGCAGATCCTGAGCAACAACGACATGTGCACGGGCTTCAACCGCGCGTTCGCCGCCTCGTACACGACGCTCAACGCCGCGGCCGTCAAGAGCACGACGACCACCAAGACGACCACCAAGACCACGACCACCAAGACCACCAAGATCGTCAACGGCAAGAAGGTGACGACCACCAAGGTGACCAAGGTCGTCACCCGGTCCAACAGCACGTCGTCGTCCTCGGGCAAGTCCACGGTCACCAGCGGCCAGATCGTGAGCAGCTACCCGTACACGTACCTGGGCAACTTCAGCAACGACAACGTGGCCTACGGCGAGGGCACCATCGTCACCAACGGCTACACGGGCTACACGCCGTACTACAGCAACGGCGCCATCACGACCAAGCACAACGGCATCGTGAGCGCCAACTACTCGGTCAGCTCGAGCTCGAGCTCGGCCATCACATCGTCGACGTCGGCCCTCATGGACGCCACGTACTCCAACACGTCCAACGTGGTCATGAACGTGACGGTGGGCGCGAGCTCCGTGGCCCGCAACGTCACGGCGTCTGTGGCCACGTCGGGCGCCTACTGGGCCTGGCTGCAGACGGCCTACAACGGCCTGTTCACGCGCTTCGAGGGCAACATGGACCTGGTGGCCACGCACCTCAAGCTGCTCGAGTGCTACACGTTCGACAGCGTCTACGGCCTGTCCAACTTCTCGACCACCTTCGTGACGGACAAGAACCTGATCACGGGCCGCGTCGAGTGTGGCCAGCGCCTGGACCTGGTGCGCTCGGGCCTGCTCCAGATGGCCGTGCGCTCCACGTCGTACTCGGCCCAGAGCCTCAAGTTCGCCAGCTCCACGGTGATCAAGACAATCCGCACGTCCTACAAGCGCGTGACCACCCGCAAGGTGACGTACATCCGCAAGTCGTACACCCAGAAGGTGCAGAGCTCGCTCGACTCGACGCAGGAGGCGTTGGGCAACATCACCGTCACGTCCACGAGCGGCTCGGGCAATGACGAGACGTCCACGACCGTGGTGGACACCGGCTACCTCACGTCCAACACGACGAGCACGACGCAGCAGAGCGCCAAGAACTCGACGGCTGTTACGACCACGAGCAGCACGACGACCGTGACGACCACGGCCAACAACGTGTCCGAGACCCTGTCGGAGGCGTCCTCCGGATCCACGGAGCTGGACGTGTCGGGCTCGAGCTCCACCACGGGTTCGAAGGCTACCACGAGCGAGACGGGCAGCTCCACCTCGTCCGAGGAGGGCTCTACGACGACGACGACCACGGGTTCGAACGGCGAGACCATCACGACAACGACCACTGGATCGGGCGGTACCATCAAGACGACCACCACGGGCTCCGGCGGCTCCATCAAGACCACCACGACGGCTTCGGGTGCTACGACGACCACGGTCACGACTGGCTCTGGAGCTTCGACGACGACGACGGGCAAGACCACCACTACGACGTCAGGCTCTACCACAAAGACTACGGGCTCGACGACTACGACTGGCTCGACCCCTTCGACTGGTTCGACGACTACGACTGGATCGACCACTTCGACGGGCTCTACCACTACTTCTGGCACGACCAACTCTGGTACGACCTCGACCAACTCTGGTACCTCGACCACGAACTCGGGTACGACCTCGACTTCGACCACCACCGGCGGCACTACCAGCTCCGGCACCACTTCGTCCACTACGAGCGGAAACACCAGCTCGGGTACGACCTCGACCAACTCTGGTACGACCTCGACTTCGACTACCACGGGCGGAACCACGAGCTCCGGTACGACTTCGTCCACCACGAACTCGGGCACGTCCACCTCAACGACGACCGGCGGCAGCTCGACGACTACCACGGGCCAGACGACGACGGCCACGGGCTCGAACGGTGAGACGATCACGACTACCACGACGGGCTCGAACGGCGAGACGATCACGACTACCACGACGGGCTCGAACGGCGAGACGATCACGACGACGACTGGCTCGAGCGGTGAGAAGACCACTACCACGACGACGGGTTCGGGTGGCTCTGTTCAGGTCACGGAGACCGGATCGGGCGGCTCCATTGAGACCACGACGACGGGCTCGGGAGCCACGACGACGACGGTCACCACGGGCTCGGGTGCCTCGACTACGACGACGGGCACTAGCACGTCCACCTCGACGAACTCTGGCAACCCCACGACTCAGACCACGACGTCGGGCTCCTCGAACAAGGGCTCGTCCACCTCGACCTCGACCGGAACGAAGACCCCGGGAGCTACGCCTGCTGTGACCACGCCTGGCGCGACCCCCGCGGCCACGACTCCGGGAGCTACGCCCGCTGCCACTACCCCGGCTCCGGAAGCGACGCCCACTGCTACGAAGACCAGCACCACTGCCAAGCCGAGTGCTACCCCGGCTGCGACGACGCCCAGCGCCACCCCTGCCGCTACGACGAAGCAGTCGGAGACGTGCATCGACGTGTCGGTGGAGGGAGACGCGACGTACTGCATTGAGGGACCCATCTGCAGCGGATCTGGCGACCTGCCTGCCGGCAAGCTGTGCCCCGTGAAGGGCGACGTTGCCGTTCAGGACTGCCACGAAAACTTGTCGAGCTACACGAACTCGAGCTCGTGTGTGGCCCCTCAGGACGCGGTGTGCATGAAGATCAAGACTGGCGCCTGGGGATGCGTCTTCGAGGAGACTGCCACCCCGGCCCCGACCAAGACTACGGAGGAGGAGACGGAAGCGCCCACGCCTGCCCCGACCAAGACCGACAAGTCGACGCCTGCCCCGACGACCACGGAGAAGGAGAAGTCCTCCCCCGCGCCGACGACGGCCGAGACGAAGACGAACGCGCCCACCCCGGCCCCGACGACTACGACGGACAAGGCTACGCCTGCCCCGACCAAGAAGGAGGAATTGACCCCTGCCCCGACCGCGACGGACAAGGCTACGCCGGCTCCGACTACAAAGGAGTCGACCCCTGCCCCGACCACGAAGGAATCGACCCCGGCTCCGACTACGCCGTGCCCGGAGAAGACCCCCGAGGCAACCAAGACGTCGACTCCTGCTCCGACGACTGCCGGTCCGTCTACCGAGGCCCCCACGCCGTGCCCCACGACTGAGGTGCCGACGACCGAGGTGCCTTCCACGGAGGCCCCCACGCCGTGCCCCACGACCGAGGTGCCGTCCACTGAGGTGCCCTCGACGGAAGCTCCCACGCCGTGCCCCACGACCGAGGTGCCTTCCACGGAGGCCCCCACGCCGTGCCCCACGACCGAGGTGCCGTCCACTGAGGTGCCGTCCACTGAGGTGCCGTCCACTGAGGTGCCCTCGACGGAAGCTCCCACGCCGTGCCCCACGACCGAGGTGCCGTCCACTGAGGTGCCGTCGACTGAGGCTCCCACGCCGTACCCCACGACTGAGGTCCCTGCCACAGATGCCCCTACGCCGTGCCCTACGACGGAAGTCCCCGCTACCACGGTGCCGACCAAGACGGGAACCCCCAAGACTGAGACCCCGACGAAGACTGGCACCAAGACTGGCACGAAGACCGAGACGACCACGTCTTCGAACCACGATGATGACTACACGTTCGAACAGCAGACGCAGCAGACCCAACAGAGTGCTTCGTCGTCGATCAAGACGTTCAGCACTTCGTACGCTGCCACGACCACTGCCTCGGACGACTCGACCGACTCGACTAGCGGCGTGGGTGCTGGCGGTGTGCCGGCCATCGTCGCCGCCGTGTGCGCTGTTGTTGCTCTGGCTGGCTTCACTGCCTACCGCATCCGCAAGCGCTCGAGCGACGCGGAGCTCACGTCACCCAGCGGATACTACAGCCAGCCGGCGACGCCCGTCACGCACTCCATCAAGCTGTAAGCAGTCCACAACACGCTTTTGTGCATGTGTCAAGATGATGGCGACTCTGTAGTGAAGGCGGCATCTCTCGATGAAGGAGAGCTGCCCTCGTACTGTGTATAACTTGTATATAATTCAGTTCAATAGAGCCACGGCCATCCTTGCAAACCAGCCTTCCCTACGTGTACCTTCCGGCAGGCTGCCAGCGGCAGCATTGGCCCTCAAACCTTCATCAACACTTTCATGTTGAAGTGAAAACGACTCACCACCACTAAAACGACTTGTAGCAGATGGAATCGGGTAAGGATGAAGGAGTGATCCTTTGGCCAAGGCAGCGTCTTGTGACTAACTCACACTTGGTGTGGCGAGTTGTAGGCCGTCATAGCTAACGCTCTCCATCCAAGAGAAATGAGCTGGCGGACCGGAGGAACACCACAACCAAGTATGCCACCACCATTCGAACCCGCTCAATCGACTTCACTGAACTTCAGCTCGAGGCGTACGGTTCACGAACTTTTATTGAGCTACAATCAACCTGACAGGCAAGCCGATGCCTCCATGCTCGTTACCACTGGGTCACCGCTCCGACTGGAAGCTTCGCGACGCAAAACCATTTCAGGTTACTCGCGCTCGCTGTCCGGAGGAATCTCGGTGCACCTATTACTGCGACTTGTTTCGACGGCGCCATACGCGTTGAAGGACTTGGCGAGTTCATCCTGCTCCACCAAAACCGTGTCGTCGTTGCAGCTCAAGTGTGGGGGGTGCATCGCTGCTCTTTTGTCTCTAGGCCAAGTTCAACATCTTCAACGCAGCACTTTGGCGACGCAACATCTTGGTGAGCTCGATGTTCATTTTCCAACTCTCACCGTCGGTGGCAGTCCCCCCACTCTCCAAGCCCGGGTGCTTCCTGTTGAGTCGCAATGCGAATCGGTTCCATTCTCCGATCCGTCACTCTGCTGCTTGTCGCGACGCTATGCAGCACCAGCATTGAAGCTTCCCAAGCTGGTGGCAACGAAGCTTGTGGTCAGGGCCAACGGGTCCGCAAGGCTTGGTCGAGTATGACGAGCAGTGAGAAGAGCCTGTACCTCGAGGCTATGGACGTCGCCATCAAGAACGGCGCGATCAAGGAGTTCGCCGCCATCCACGTCGAACCGAACGGTGAGTTCCAGGCCCACCGCTCGTGCGCCTTCTTCTCGTGGCACCGCCGCCTTTTGCTCGCACTGGAGAGCTACCTGCGTGACCAAGACTCGAAATTCGCTTGCGTGACACTGCCGTATTACGACGTCCAGACGGCGTACGTCCGCCAGGCTGCGGGTCAGTGCAACAACTTGTACCAGTGTTCGAGTATCCTGCAAGAAATCGGCGGCAACAAAGCTCAGAACAAGGAGGTTTGGATTACGCAGAACGGTCAGAGTGCTGTCGGGTTCCCCGTCACCGGGGCCCCATTGAACGCCGAGTGCGATGACAACAACGTCTGCGGCTACACCGTCCGCAGCGATATGACCACGAAACCCGTGCCTTCAGGTGCCGGGTTTACCTCGTTCCTGAGCGTCGTGACCAGCTCCGACGACTACGCCGACTTCCTCGAGGGAATTCAATTCGGAGTCCACAACGAAGTGCACAACGCTGTCGGGGGCACCATGGCCACCTTTGCCTCGCCCCGTGACACCTTCTTCTACTCGTGGCACGCTGCTGTCGACATGTACCTGCACGTGTATCACCTGTGCAACTTCGGGGTGCCTCTGACTGAAGAGGAATTGCTGACGGCTACCATGGCGTTCACCAAGGCGACGGACACGTGCGACGGCGTGTCGGGCATCGGCCCCAACGCCAAAATCGTGCAGAACGTGGTCGTGAACGGCAAAACCATCGACATCGCCGATCACCCGACGCTCGGCAAGTACTTCAGCCACGTCGGCAGCGAGATGTGGAACTACGGAGACGTGACGCAACTCGGGGACTACTCGTACTCGTACGATCTCCCCGACATCGTGACGCAGCAACTCCTGAGCAACAGCCAGATCTGCTCCGCGTACAACCCCTCAACGCCTTCGTTCAGTTCCAGCGGCTCCGAATCGGGCTCCAGTGCCTCTGATTCGGGCGCTATCGCCTCCGAATCGGGCTCCAGTGCCTCCGATTCGGGCTCCAGTGGCTCTGAGTCGAGCGCCAGTGGAAGTGGATCGTTCCGAGGCTCGTACTCCGATAGCTCGTACTCCAGTGGCTCATACTCCGATAACTCGAGCAGTGATGGTGGAGCTTACGTCGATTCGCCTGACGATGCCGGCTACGGCTACTTCAACAAGACGGAGATCCCCACTCACTCGGGCATCTACGTCGCCGACAACTCTACCGACAGCTCCACGGACAGTTCGACGTATGCGCCGCCTTCCGACGCCAACTCGGGAGACTACTGGCAGTGGACTCAGGTCACGTACGACGGACTGTACGCCCGCTTCGACGGCAACATGGACCTCGTCATCCAGCAGATGCACTACGCCGAGTGCGAGGCGTTCAACAAGGCCCACGGCATCGAGGACTTCTCGGACGACTTCGTGCAGAACTTCCACCTGACGTCTTCTCGCCCCATTTGCGGCAAGAAGGTGGACGAGATCGAGACCGGCGACGTGGTCGTTGCGTGCACGACCGACGAATTCAAGCCCGAAGCTGTCGAGTTTGCGGACGACGACGTCATCCAAGAGATCAAGCGCGACTACGTGCCCACCACCTCCACGGAGCAGTACATGGACTCGGACTACTACGCCGACGCCCAGACGAAGGCGCAGCAGACCCCCGTTGGAGGCTACTCGACCACTCCAACTGCAACCCCCGCTGCGACCCAAAGCCAATACACAGCAGCTCCGACCAAGACTGTTGACTACAGCACTCCGACTCCGGCCCCAACGACCGACGACTTCGAACACAAGCACTGCGAGTAAATGGCCCGTCAATCTGCTTAGACCAAGCAGGTGTAGATGTTGCACTTACATGTAGATAGCTGTCTCTGATAAAAGCAAAATATATAGTCGTCAAAAGAAGCGTGCTTCATCAATGTTGAGGCGTGCGAACTTGCGGCTTACAACCTTTGGGCGTGGACTTGACCTGTCAGCTCAGCACAACACCGCCGCAGCTCCATCGATCCTCCGCCAAACTGTGTCCTTCGGACGCAGACGACGTTGGCACAGCGGTGCGTAAGCTTCGTCAAAAACGCCTCGCCCCAAGCGCTGATGAGCAAAAGGAGCTGGCCGAAGCTGCGAGAAGTGAAGCGAACGATCGTGTCGTGGCGTTCTTCAGAAGCCTTCAGCTTGTGCTGAAGTTCGAAGGTATTGACGACACGATCGCTAAAATACAGTTGCTTGAACAGCGCCATCACCGTGGCGTAGCGGGCACTTGCCGCTCGCGTGGATTGCTTGGCATTTGCGAGCTGTCGAAAGCAAAAGTGGCAGTTGGTACTACCGGTACAGCTTTTCCATCTCAGTGGCCGACGTGATCGCCCAAACCGCTGGACAGATTTCCGAGTTACGCACCAGAGCCCTTTTGTACAAGAAGATTTCCCCCATCTTGGTCACGCCCATTCAACTGCCACAACGCAAATTTGACTATGCCCCAACTGCAACAACCCGGACTATAATTTTTGTATGTACCCTAATCAACCATACAATTCCCCAGTCAACTCTCCCGTCTCCTCACCACCAGTGCACAATTTAGATAAAGTAGGATCATCAACATGAGGTCGCAGCTCGTCCGCCGCGCTCTCCGCGCCGCAGCATCTGCAGCTTCACCGCCTGCGCGCGCCCCGCGCGTCTTCGCGCCTCGCTCCATCCTCCACCAACGCACGCAGCTCATCGCCCGCCCGCTGCAGATCTCGAGCGCGCGCCACTTCTCGCAGACTCCCAATGACAACGAAGGCGGAGAGACTGAGACCGAGTCCGACTCGGAGACTATTGCCGACGCTGAGGCGCCCCAGTACTTGGGCGTGGTGTACGACGCCTCCAAGGTGAAGAAGTACAGCGCCGAGCTGGAGCTCGAGGGCCACGTGATCAGCGGCGGCGACTACTGGACGGCGCTGGACGCAGCCAAGGCCTACGACGAGCTCGTGACGCTCTACTGCGACCTGGACGCGCCCCGCAACTTCCCCGAGGGCGACGAGACGGACGCCCAGCTGGAACAGTCCCCGGAGGACGTGGAGTGGCAGGCCCCCGAGGCCGGCAACCGCCACGCCGACATCATCCCGCCCATTGCGCAGACCTACTTGACCATCGACGAGGTCAAGGAGGCGCTGGAGCGCGAGAAGGCCATCGACGTGTACACGGTGGACCTGGCCGGCAAGAGCAGTCTGGCCGACTTTATGGTGTTCGCCACCGGCCGGTCCCAGGCCCACATGCGCCGCATGGCCGACCTGCTCATCAAGTCCATGAAGGCCCGAGAGATCGTGGACGACTTTGACTACGCCGTGGAGGGCCGCGACTGCGACGACTGGATGATCGCGGACTGCAACAACATCGTGGTGCATTTGATGCGCGCCGACACGAGGCGGATCCTGGCGCTCGAGGACCACTGGGAGAACATGGTGGACGACAAGCACAGCGTCTACGGCGACATGAGCGAGGACGAGTACATGGACAAGTTCGGCACGAGTGAACTCATGGAATACCTCGAGGATGAAGACCACCCAAACGAGGACGGAGAAGGATCCGGCGTCGAGTGGAAGTAAAAGAACACGTTAGCGACTGTAGGAACGATAGACTAACGCCTGGATACACGTAACCTTTGAGATGAACGTGGTAGATAATTTGTGCGTTAGTTTTTGTAGTTTGGTGATGATTATACAGCTTCAAGTCGCTGTGAAGGGATACAGTAGCTCTGAACGAGGACGAACACTCGAAAGAAAACGTTTTATCCCATTGCTGGTTGAATAAATACCCCTTAGTGTTTGTCTTTCGCGATACTATCTACACATACTCGTAGCACTAGCGCTATGTTGTCACCTTACTGGTCCCTTGTAAGCTTCATCATCAGGAATCGATCGAAGTCGTAATAGTCTTGGCGCGTCATGAGAGTAGCAGAGCTCGAGTCGTTGGTGGTAAGCCCAAAGCAGAAATCAAATCCACAGACGTCGCACGTGAAAGTCTCCAAGCGTGGGTATCAAACCACAGCAGAACGCGGGCGTGGTGGCAGCCATAGAGATCGACAAGGAGTAATGAGTCCTCGTCGACAACTACGGAAGCGCACCACACCTGCAACTCACACGAAGCACGCCAGGATCTGCAGCTTCAACGGGGGTAATGAGCCCCGATCAGCTGAGCCTGCTGACGCGTCTCCGAGCAAGGTCCGCTAAGCTCCGATAACACCACACCCGGAAACCTTCAACAATTGACGATCCACGGAATAGAGTTCAACAGAGAGTAATGAGTCTCTGAAGTTCGCCTTGGTCCAACCTCGTCGAGAGAATAAGAGGGAAATGAGCCTCTTTCTCTTCACACCACCTGTCACCCCATGCTGCTTGATACGAAATCCATAAGCATCAAGTCTCACTCCGTGGCTAGCGAAGCCCTGTTTCCAATGCTCGGTCAAGGCATGATGGCGTCGTTCCGGTTTGGTGCTGTTTGCCAATCGGGAGTAATGAGTCCCAAAGCGTGCCCAGCCTGACTACCAAGAGGCAGAAATGAGTGCCTCTCAGTAAACGCCGACTCCAAGCCACGCCAAATGCTCCATTTCACGTGCCATCCAATCTCGCTCGTCATCTACCACCGGGCCGCTGCATCTGCCATGCATGAGTCCAGTTTTCGTCGCAAGCCACTCAGTTCACGCTCCAATCGTCCAGTCGGGCTTGCTCGGAGGTGACCTGCACTTGTCCTGGGGCTAACGTCAATGTTGTCGCTGTCACTGCTGTTCCTGCTGGTTATCCGTCGTCCTGTCACGTGGCGCAGACTGCGCATACTCCGCAGACTTCCACTGCTGCTGTTGCTGTTAAAACTGTTCCCATCCGACGCCGTAGGCGTCGTAGTCGCCACCGATGGCGCGCGCTTGTACGGAGCTGACCTCGCCGACCGCGGAGAAATCTCCGGCGACGACGACGTTGGGGACGTGCCCGCTCGAGACGACCCCATCCGCTTACTCTTGTACATTCTGCTCGACGTCGTCACGTTCGCCGCCGCCGCCTTAATCTCCTCAGGCAGCGTCAGTCCCATCTCCCTCTTGCGCACACGTCGCTGCTGTGCCGGCGCCGGCACCTCCACGGGCTTCGTAGTACTCACATTCTCCAGACTCATCGCCGGCAAGACCGGCGACGCCATCGTCGTGTCCTTCACGTCCGTCGTAGCTGTCGTCACGGGCGTCATCGTCGTCGTCCTGGAGCTCCTCGAGCTCACGGTCGTCACGGGGCTGCCGTAGCCGCTGCTGCTGCTGTCCGAGGACTTCTGCCGCTGCTCCTGCAGCCTCACGAGCGCCTGCGTCAGGTACTTGTTCTGCGCGCGCTTCTCGTGCAGCTTCTTCTTGTAGTGGACCAGCTGCGCCTCCATCTCCTGCGCGCTCTGCTGCTTCTCCTGCACCACGACCAGCAGGCGCTGCTCGAAGCTGTGGCTGGTGGCCACGGCCGTGTCCACGCGGCTCTGCAGCGCGCGCATCTCGTTGCGCAGCGCGCGGTTCTGCTCGCGGCGCTGCAGCGCGTCGGCCTGGGCCTGCGCGAGCTGCTGCGTGAGGCGGTCGCGGTCCTCCTTGCCCGCCTGGTCGTGGCGCGCCCAGTAGTCCTGCTCCTGCTGCAGCAGGCGCTTGAGCGCCGCCAGCTCCTGCGCCAGCGCCTGCTCGCGCCGCGCCGCGTCCTCGGCCTGCGTCTTGTGGCGCGCGGCCTCGTCCGCGCAGTGGCGCTTGCTCTGCGCCAGCTCGGCCGAGAGCAGCTCGTTGTGCCTCGTGAGCGCCTGCACCTGCTTCTCCAGCGCCTGCAGCGCGCGCTGGAACTCGCCCTGCATCTGCGCCACCACCTGGCGGTAGTACGCGTCGTCCGCCATGGGCTCGGGTCTGCGGTCGAATGGGGGAAGGAGAGCCGCCGCGTCCCAGGGTCTTAATGGAGCTGCTCGGGGTGCTGCCGTTCGAACGTCGGGCGGGAATTTGGGCGCGAAAAACTGGCGCCCCTCGTATTTTCGGAGCAGGAGTTCAAATCATCCGAAATTTGCGGAGCATTGGGATCCGAAATTAGGCATACAAACGCCAAGTGATAGTGGGAGATTCAAAATTGTTGAAGTCGGAAAAACAGCCAATCAAAACGCGAGTTTGAGAGTCCGAACTGGTTTGGCTCTCTTGACGATATGACGGGGAGACTGCGGCTGTATGTGGTGCTGGCGGCGCTGCGCGTGGCCTGCAGCGTGCTGCTGCTGGGCATGGTGCACCCGGACGAGTTCTTCCAGAGCCAGGAGGTCATGGCCAGCCACTTTCTGCCCATGCAGCAGGAGGAGGAAGCGCTGCGCCGCCAGCTGCACGTGCCATGGGAGTTCCAGCTGCCGTCGCCCAACCGCTCCGTCGTCTTCCCGTGAGCTGCTGCTGTCTGCAATTATTATAATAACTTTTTTATAGTATAGTAAACAATAATTGTTATTTATTATGCTGGTGTGTGTAGGGCGCTGGTGGCGGGGCTGCCGTACAAGGTGTTGCAGCTGCTAGGCGTGAAACTTACGGGGTGGCTGCTGCTGGTGACGCCAAGGGCGTTGCTCTGTCTGCTGTCCTTCACTGTGGACGCGGTGGTGTTTGGAGTCGTGGGGCAATTGAGCAGAACGCAGAAGCCAGAGATTAGAAGGGAGAAGCAGGAGAAGGCCCTGCTGCTGCTCGCCAGCTCGTGGCCCACGCTCGTGTTTCTCTGCCGACCGTTCTCCAATACTTTTGAGACGTTGATGCTTGCACTCTGCTTTGCGGTGCTGTTTCTAGTCAATCCGGTAGGTTCACACGACATTTTCTCGTATAATTATTTGTTATTTCAACGAGGTGCTGACTACATGTATTTTGTTTCGTTATTGACGGTTGGGGACGACAGCATCGACGAGTTTTGTGTGGGTTGGTGCACGTGCAGACGGTTCTTCTTGGGAGTCTCTTGGCGTTGGGATTCTTCACGCGGTTTACGTTTCCGGTGTTTTTCTTCCCACTTGGGGTGGAGCTGGTGCGCCAGCAGGACGCGTTGCTGGTGCACGCGGCACGCAAGAAGGATGTCGTTGGGCCGTCTGTTGTGCGTCGCCTGGTAGGGACGTTGGCTGTGGGGGTGCAAGGACTTCTCGCGTTTTTGACCTGGTCAGTGGGTTTCATCGCAGTGGACACGCTCTACTTTCGCCCCGAAGTGTTTGAGGGTGACTGGGATCGGTCGATGTTGCAGAAGATTGCCGGAAATGCCGTGATCGCACCGTTGAATAACCTGCTATATAACGCCCAGTACGACAATCTGGAGCTCCATGGTGTGCACCCGCGGTTCACTCACCTGACCGTCAACATGCCGATGCTGTTTGGCCCAGTCTTTTTGGTCTTCCTGGTGAAGTTTCTGCGCTACCCGGATCGCTCGGTTTTCGGCAGTGCGTGTGTATTCTTTCCATTGGTGTGTTTGTCGCTTGCCCCGCACCAGGAGCCCAGATTTCTGTTGCCGGCTCTCGTTCCGCTGCATATATTCACTGCAGTGAACGGCAGAACGGGGGTAGTGCGCTTCTTGACGACGCACAAGCTTGGTTTGCTGCTATGGACTGTGTTCAACGTCGCGTTGACTCTGTTTTTCGGCGTGTTACACCAAGGAGGCGTCGTGCCGATGCTGCTGTCTTTATCCACGATCGCTGCTAACGCTCAGGGTGCATCTACCGCCAACTGGTTGACGTCCACCTGCCGCTTTGAAGGGGGCAGCAGCTTATCTCTTATTGGCACGGCACCCCTGGTTTTCGCAAGGACCTACATGCCTCCCCGCTTCCTGCTTGCTGGGTTAAGAACCTCACCGTCATTCCGAGTGATTGATCTCGCTGGGGGTTCTGGCACTGACCTCGCCGATTTGCTGGGCTTGCAGGAGACCGACCAGCCGCAAACAGATACCGCGTTGCTGGTGCTACCCGCTAGCATAGACTTCAGTGACATCATTCACGAAAGCTCGCTGTCGGTCTCGAGTATCTCCAAGTTGGGCGGCTGCTCTCCTCATATCTCGACGGAAGATTTGGCACTCGACAAGGCCTTCTCGCTGGATTTGTACGCGGTGAAGCTAGCACACAAGGCGGCAACCAGTGCCCCGTGAAGAGAACAAAGAAATAATGATTGTTGAAGGGTGATCGGGTGTTTGCCATCTTTTGCTGTGGTAACGGAGCTGAAGATGATACAGAAGACGTTTGGCGCTTGCAAGTATTATTCAAGATAGATATACATTTGCGCCCAAGACATCTACAGTAATGAATCATTACGACAACAACACGCAAGTATTCTAAAAAGCGCCTTCCTTTACGAGCCGTAGAGAGCTCATTCCGATTTTTTCTCGCTGGCCCAGACACGATCCAGTCAAGCAAAGATGTCACCGCGCACTGCCACCCAACTCGTCATCCAGTCTCGACTTCCTCTGGCCAACGGGTCGCTGCCTCACGTGGTCCAGCTCATCGACGGATTCCTCGCGCCTTCGTGCTGGCAAGCCGCTTTCAATGCTGCGTGCGAAGGCGGAGCGTCGGAGCGAATGCTCGAGTTCTTTCTCCTAAGAGCGACCCCAGACTGGGACGAAGTTGCCGACGCTGCCGCGAAAGGCGGACACTCGCACGTTGTTCGGTGGGTAACCAGCCGTGTCGAGGGCCTGGACGCGTGGGAAACCTACTTCAGTAGATCGTTCGTAGTGCAGACTGGCGACTACCGTGCCGGCTTCGGCGTCTACCGGCGCACGAATCATGCCATGAATGGGACGCTGGATATCAACGGTGAGTTAAGCTTGGTTAATGCACTCTTAGCCTCAACGCTGACAGTACCTTGTTGTAGTGCACCGCATCGAGTCGTTGAGTGCGGATCCGGTATTGGTACAGAACAAGCACGCGGTTTGCTTCTCGGTTGGGAGATCGAAATGCGTGATGTCATTCAAGACGCTCAATACCCCCCTCGATGAGACTCTGGCGGTATACGTCAAGAACGCCCCTGGAAACTCGATGGTGAACGTCAAACTGCTGCTTGAGGAGGGCGGATTGCTGTTGAGCTCGGCGTTGACGATCGTGGCGATCGAGATCCCGCTGATCTACTTCCTCAAGAACCCGCGGGACAACCGTCTCGCGTTCACGTTAGTCAGCGAGGGGCGGATCCTCAACACGATGGTGCTTCACTACCGTGTGAGCTGGGCGACAATGGACGCGATGGTGACCGTCGAGGAGAAATCCGGACTATTCGAGTTTGTCGCGGGTGGTGTGGAGATGGTTACTGCGGTGTGCAACATGCTCTCACGTGCTGCTACAGCGGTGCAGCGCTTCGTTCTGAGTCTCCTCCCAGGGAATTCGACGTAAGCCTCTTTCTTTTTGTTGTTGCAGTAGTCGTTCAAGTAAAATGCGTTAGGGCATCTCTCGAGGCGACCTTTTTGGTGGCTCTACTGTAATATTGGATTCTACAACGGTAACCTCCAGTTGGGGGCATATACGGTACAGATCTGAGATTGGATCTGATGTGCTAAAAGGTGTACTGGGGGTTGCACCCCCAGACCCCCCCGCAAAAAGAAAACTAACTCCGAGTTGCGGCAACGGGTCCGTTCGCTGGAATGCTCGTCGCTGGGCCCGCCTCCGCAAATACCGCGCGGCCCTGTTTCGCGGGCACCCCGCGCGGGTTTGCTATGGCTACGCTCCTCACTGCCGAAACATATGTTTTTCAATACAAAAATTAGTATTAAAAACCGATCCATTCTCTGATCTGTACCCTATATGATCCCAACCGGGTTTTACCTTCTGGCAACCTGCCGCGCTAACGGAGTGCTTTTCGAGGACAACAAACTCAACGAAGTCGAAAGCGTGAAGAAAGGGACAGGAAGGATCAGGAAGCACGTCACCAGTCTGACAGGGATCCCGGTCAAGTTGGACCGCGCGCTGTGGTTGATGCTGAAACCAGGATTTTTAGAGGTAAAGGGGGTGCAGGTTTGGATGCAGCCGCTGTTCACCGGACGGAAAAATACGAACCTTACGCTGAATGAACTGGAGTATGTCAACTGTAACCGCGTTTCGTTCGGACAACTACGCGTAGCACTGCGGCAGTGGGGGGCGCGTGATGTTTTGGTGGAATCGCACGGATTCTTTGCTGACAAGAACGGTGTACGACAGGATGGAAGACGTTGTGCGCGCGAGTGCCTGCAGCTTGCTGCGTACACTACACCAGAGATAGCATACGCATTTCGACTGTTTTTCCCGAGTGAAGACAGTGCGAATACAGTATACAGAGCCTTCCTTGGCTCGCAGGCAGATGGATCGTATCAGCATTGCAACCCGACAAGTACACTACTGCTCAAACCTATCATGTACGCAGAATGGGATCCTGACCTAGGGGTCATGTATCGTCCTGGCCAACGACGCAGTGTTAAGCAGGTGTACAAGATTGGGATCTTTGGTGTCCGAATCGAAATGCGACCGAAACACACTGAAGGTGCTTTTGAGGACACTGGACTTGGCAAAGTCCGCGTTGAGTTCAGAGGCAGTCAGCCACTTTTTGGAATCGGCGTGTGTGCATCGGAGGAGCAGATGAAAGCTATACTGAATAAATTTGGCCCCGAGGGCACGACGCAGTTCAAGTTCAGGAATATTACTTTGTCACTTCGACAGTGGGAGGAGAAGCGGCCGCGGAAGTGCCACGAATGTGAAAAACCCGGTTACTTGAAGTTTGAATGTCCACTGCTAACCAACAAACGATCCAATCAGCTATTGCAAAGGGGGGTCCAGCCGGTCGCGCAACAGGAATCCCGCCCGAGTGATCATGCTATAGCTACATACGAGCAACTCAGCGTGCAGCAGTATATTGACACCAAGCTGGCGGAGTTAGTGAACGTACGAACTGAGCACATTGAGCACCGTCTGGACAAACTGGACCAGCAACAGCAGCGAACCGACCACGTCCTGAAGGAGTTTACATCCGGCTGGAAGGCGGCAGTGGCGGCACTGGGGGACAGAATGGACCAACAAATGACTGCACTCGGAGAACGCTTGCAGAATTTTGGATCGGGAGGCCCAGCGCGCCAGTAGGCTTGGTCTCCCTTAGGACGTATACTGGAATTCGGTGGTGGATGAAGTTGCTGCTGCTCGTGCTGGCTGTGCAAATTACTGGTGCTGCTACGGTGAATTCAGCCCGATCACGCCAAGATGTGACCTGCGTAACGGGAATAATGCCTACAGGAGAAGTCGGCGGCGAGGACGTGTATACCTCGGAAACCAGTATAGAGAGCGATACCGATGCGTCGGTAATTGCAGACCAACAAGCGGCCGGCGTGCATACAACAGCGCGTCATCAGCGGGGAGGCAGGCGCCGTCGGAAATGGCAGCCGGTGCGGTTGCCATGGGCAAATACAGGTGAACCAGCACGAAGCACTGTCCTACGCAGCATATTGCAGAGGGAACACTACTCTGGCGACTACATGGGTGATGATGACAACGCTTTTCGGAGCGATGAGAAGGCGGTACGTGTCTGCACTACCAATATAAATCGGAACTTACGCCGCAAGATGAATGAAGAGCTGGCTGCGTGGATGGTGGCAAACAATCAGGATGTTGTTGTTGTCAGTGATCCGGATCTTACCAGCCAACGGGTTGAGTAGATTTGGCTCAACACCCACGACCAGACACCTAAAGTACCCGGGATATTACTCGTTGGCACCACGAAAGCAGCACGGACGACGAGATACTAGATTGGTTGGAGCGGGCTATTGAGAATATGCACCACTGCCTGCATTCGAGCGCAAAATAAATATGGGGGAAACAAATCAGTCCCGGCGACTACTTGCGCGCTCTGTTTGCATCAAATACAGTAATCGGTGCACGGCACAATTACGAAAGCTGACCCAGCTGTCTGTTTTGGATGATGTCGGCGTCGATGATCTCTTAATCGCTGCGAACGCAATTATTTGGCCAAAGTGGGTAATCCAGCCAGGCCACCTGCGCGCACGAGCGCGCGACACATCATTTGCATGAAGAACTACAGCGGATGGCAGTGGTTCCGACAGCAACATTAGCGGAGTGGCAAATGTGGGTCTCGAGTGAGTTAAGTGCTGGAAACGAGTCATGCGGATCCGGAGAAACTGGAGATCAACTCAAATCAGAGCTCAGCTAAAGAAGCAACGACAGGACTGGTTTTCCGGCGGAGGTATAATTTTTTTTTTTGAATAGCACCCTAGGTCGAGGCTCTCCGCCCGTAGCAATACGAAGTGCGATAGTCACGGACACTGGGGAAACCCGATACACTGAGGACCGGAGTGAGGTGCAGAGGGAACTAACTACTCTCCTCGATGACTGGATCCCTGCGAACGAAAAAACAGAGTCCCCACGGTATCTGGAAACATTGTCAATGGACGATGTGGAGGACCTACCCGATTTCGCTCGTGAATGGATTGTTCCGGATATCATTGAGGGTGGCCGTTTTGCATCATATTGGCAAGATGAAAGCAGGGCGTGGAACAACTATGTCTACACGCCTGAAATGCAAGCGGAGGTCGATCGTCAGCTGAAGCAACATGTAGCGCCCGGTTATGGAGGTATTTCACAGGAGATGTGGATTGCTGCACCTGACATAGTCCGAAGCCGCGAGAGGCGAGTCATTGAGCTGATCCTCCGTCTGGGCAGAGCTCCACCTATCCTACGGCGAAAGCAAATGATTTTTCTTCCTAAGTGCGCTAACATCGACCCGACGCTCGATAACTCCAAAGGACTACCACCTTGGAGGCCCATTACCGTGCAATCGGCGTTGGCTAGCCGCTTATTTCTTGTTGTGAAACGCTACGTTGAGCCTGGTATTCCGATCAGCCAAATGCAACACGGATTTCAATCGGATAGAACCGTCGTCGATGCAGCTCTACTGGTTACTTTACTGACGGAACGTGCTCTAGATCTTCGTGAGCGCTTGATAATGGTATCCAAAGACTGCCTGAAGTGCTTTGACCGAATTCCAAAATGGTGCATGGATCTTATCTATCGGGGAATTGGTGTGCCAGAGATTCCCAGAAAACTCATGATTGATCTTCTTGGCCCTGGTCACGTCGATGTAAGGACGGCTTTTGGATGGATCTCTACTGGAGCACGCGAGTTTGGAATAGGTCAAGGCTCAGTTCTATCCATTCTGCACATAGCCTGCTATATGGACTGCCTTCAAAGGCAACTTGCCCGCTGTTCGGACTCAGTCAAAATCCGGCATCACCAACACGGCGAGGGAACCGAGATTAGCAGCACGCTCTTCGTCGACGACCAGTTGGATGTTACGACGACCGAGCGAGGCATATCAGCTCGGGCCGATGTAACTAATAAGTTTACAGGAAAATTCGGTTCAGGGGGTGTTTTCGGTGCGGCGAAGTCCTTCATGATGTATCTGGCAGACAACAATTCACATCTGGAGGCAGTACAACTCAACGATGGACTTGGCGTCCCTCATCCAGTTCAAGTTGTAGCCCCGGCGGAAGGATTCAAGCATCTTGGTATGTTTCAAGGCGGATGCAATCTGTGGGAAGCCACACTTGCACCTACATGGCTACAGCTCACTCAAGAAGCGCAACGAATCCAACACATGAATTTGTCATCAGCGCAATTCCGTTACATTGTCAACAGGGTGTGCGTTTGTGGTACAGAATGATTTTGGGAGGTGCAATCTCTACTGCCGCTCTCGTAGATACATTCATCCGGCAAGTGGCTCGGACGGTGTTACGGCTCCCCTTTTCGACTCCGCGCCAAGTGTTTTATGACCAACAAAATGGAGTAGGATTGGAAAGCTGTGAACTCGATGCGAATGTGCACCGAATGCAAGAAGCGCTTCGAATTCTAAACTCACCCGAGTTACCAGTATATCATCTGCTGGTTGAGCGGCTAGAAGCATATCAAACCCACGCGGGACTTCCTGACAATCCTCTCGTGCTTCCAGTCAAACCTCCCGCCCAAGTGCGAACCTGGGAAGCACAATTGATTCGATTTGCAGCCTCACTCAAACCACCACTCCGTTTCGCTGTCAAATGGACTCACCCACCTGCAGTGAGATCACTCCGAGCTAACGATCGACCGCTCATTGAGATTACACCACCGCAGCTCCGGAGTGTACTAGTTGCAGTTAATTGGAACTCGGACTGTAAACTTATCTTTGTGGGTGATTTGTGTGGGTATATGGAACAAGTTTATTAACAAGAGCGGGACTGCAGCGAAAAGGAAGTGGGTAGGAGCGAAAAAAGCACGTGTAGACCAGCTTTATGAAGATTGGAAATGCCACCTCGTCCACGAGGGCACATTGGACTTACGCGTACCTGTTGGTTGTGAGCGCTTGTCACCTGGGGTGGCCTCATACAAAATGAGAATTGGCGTTGGTGAGTGGATTATTGCAGTACAACTGGATACACAAGACGCAGTACCACGTGTTGACCACTACGAGCTGGGCTATCGTGAAATTGGCGATGTCGCCCGTCACCAGCTTGGAACAGTGATCCCAATCCGCTGGTGGTATGAGCGACCACGGGGTAGCGATATCTGGTATGAGCGGACCCATAGAGCCGTTGTCAACGAGTTCGAAGCTGTGTGCGTCCCTGTTATCGTAAGATATCTACCTAGGCGTCGCAACAGGAAAGATCGAATAATTCTGTGGACCACGACACAAGTGGACGGGATTCAAGGGGCCAACGATAGGCGCCTGCTTCAGGAGGCAGCGGCGCGCAGTCGGCTCCGCTATGAAAGTACATTGATCCATGGGACTCTCATTGAGATTGCAACGGCATGCACAGCTTGTGGGCGGCACAGAGGCGAACAATGGTGCAGTGAATGTGGTTTGTGGCACCATACACAGTGTATGACACGATCTTGCAGATTGCCACCCGTTGATGATACTGTCGTGGGGAATGCACGTGCGGCAAGCGTGCAATATGCGTGGAAGGAGGGTGACCAGACGCTAGTTGTTCAAGCTGGTGACGGCAGCGTTGCTGAAGCGAACACAACGAATGTACAAGGTGGATGGGCGCTACAAGCGCCAGGGGGTAACAGTGTCACGGGCCAACTACGAATACACCGCCCCGATATCACCTCAACTCGATGCGAGATCCATGCGCTTTTAGCAGGACTGGTACTCTACGGCGATACGGGAGTTCAAATATGCGACAACAAAAGCGCTATCCAGATTTTTGAGAAGGCCCGAGCCCATGCATCGGGCCAGCTCGGCCATATTAAATACCGAGATGTGCATCGCATTGAGATAAAATCGCTGAGCAGTGCCATGACTGCTCATGGGTCGATGATAGCCGTCTGGGTTCGCTACGGCAGCGGCGAAATTCACTGGCGTGCGTGGATCTTGCTGCAGGGCGGAGCCATCACATGGATATGATGGCTTCATATGCAGCTTGGCTAGCGTTTGGTAATTTCATGCTTGTAGATGAAGAGGGGGCATTGATTTTTGGCAATACGCTGCGCTACCTCAAATGCCGCGGTTACGAAGATCAGCACCGACGTTGGATACAGAACCAACAGCAGAGAGACGTAGCTCGACAAACAGTGCAAGACGGAGAAATTGGGATGATTTACAACGGGAAATGGTCAGAATCGCTACGAAGATTTTACTGGAGAGCTCGGTCCAATGTACTACACACCAATGCCGTCAAGAATCGCTTTGATAGTAGATGGTCGGCTTCATGCGCCACGTGCGGCGAAGTTGACACACAAGACCATCGTTTTGGACTCATTGAACCGGAGTGTGAATACGTTCAGGAATTGACCGCCAAGCTAACCACTTTGCATCGCTCGCTAATCTCCCAGGAGTGGGTACCGGATCAAGAGATTTTTGTACCTGCTATAGCTCACGACATAGGAACATCGTGTGGCCTCGAGCAGCGGGGACCCTGGTGCGGAAATGAACCTAGCAACTTTTTATGGCTGACGATGATTCGAGCAGACAATGGCATGTGGTTAAACCCTCAATGGCTTGACTGGTTAGGGGATCCTGCCGCGTTTTCTAAAGACCTCAGATTCCTCCAGCTCCTGGAAAGTGAAGCCGAACCGAATCGACCAAGAGGATCTCCGCGATGCATGATACCTGTGGGGCTGATAGAGGCGGTGAGGTGTTATCACACACAGATTGGTTTATATGATGCGTGCCTTACCCAGTGGACCCCCGGTTGGTCAGCCATTTCATTTGAGCGCAGTATCTGTTTCGATCAATTTCCGGGCCTGATGGGATTATCGCCACCACGTGAAATCACTACTTGGTGGATAGATGATATCTACCTTCCTCGCTCTGAAGAATGGTGGGAAAGTTTTCAGCGCAGCTATGAAAGTCAGAGTGGGGAACCCTCACTGGTGTATTGGGTCGTGACGTACTTTGGCTCACCAGGGCACATGATACTTGAAGCAAGCGACTGTGTTTGGACTGTGAAAATACCGGCAGGCCAGCTGGCAATGCGTACCGAGGCATTCGTTGTGCAGCGTCGTAGCTGCACCATGGCGGACGTCTTCCAAACAAATGAACGCACGATTCTAATCGGTGTTTTCATATTGAACGGAAATGCACCCTCCATTTCAAGTAGTACGAAGTCGTACTGGGAGCAGGCCCTCGGCAGTGACGAATGGATAATTGACCCGCCATCAGAGGAGGAGTCAACAACGTCATCCCTGCTTTGTCATGATATTGTGAATGCTCAACAACCCACGTGGTGGACTACTGTTCGACAGCAGTTGGATCGCCTTCAGCTGGCCGTCTACGAAGCCCCCAAAGGATGGTAACGGTACCCAACTATGACGAAAGGAAGCAAAGTATGGTCAGAGGCAGCATCCTACACTATGGGGCAGGCCAAGATGTTGCATGAGTCGATTTTCTTGGGTACCTGGGTTACCCTCCGAGAATACTGGGAGTACAGCTGCACCATCGACGCTAATGAACGATCTCAAAGACATTGCCAAACGCTTTTGAGGGATGTGAACCTGGGAATCAAAACGAGACGCCAGCAATGGACTCAACGAACTCAAAGAACTCAAAGGCAACTGTCCCACCGCCTCCAAGAACGAAGAGACCAGATTTGTGAGCGTGGCGAACGCTGGCATGACGAACGAAATCAACAACTTGGTACCGACGGCACGACCTAGCGTGTTTGGTATCAAGCTCTTTACTTTACTGCATATAATGCATATGACCTCGACAGCACTGGTGACGCAGTCTCTGCGACTGTGTGATCCGTGCTGTCATGTATGGGCGACTACCGCGGGCGCGTGTTGTTTCAACATGCGATCCGTAGGCGAGGCTGCAGCAGCGCGCAGTATCGAGTGCAGTTAGCCGACTAAACCGCAATAAATTTAAATTTAAATGAGCTCATTCTGAAATAGCTACCCCAATTTTTGTGGAAATAGTTAGTTGTTGCAGTCTTCAATATTACTCCATGTAGTCTCGAGTAGCCCAGAATCAATTACTTTCACGCCAACCAGTTGACTTTACGTCTCGAAAGAAATCAATCCGACCAATAGGTGACGCAATGGCAATTTTTCAAAGTCGTGCAAGCCTCATCGCAGTAGATGTTGCCATCGCCAGCTAACACCATCATTGACAGGGGCTTGCCAGCGTGTGGAGGCTATTTACCCCAATTTTCTTATCGACGAATTCGTGGTCGATTATCTACAGACCAGAACATTGCATGCAGGCATGGTGCTCCAGTAAGATTTCTCGAGTTAATGGCACATTGACTACTCCAGAATTGTTTCAAGATGTTAACCACGCTTTACTGTCAGTACAATTATTGTGCCTTTCACTTCTTCTGCCGTGATAATTCTGGCATATCTCTAACCCGTTATCGACCTTAATTATGCCCCGAGTTAGCTAATTCCCATGTTAATTCCGGGTCGTCCCTCCGTGGACGAATTAGGAGCGGTACCGATGATCCTACTCAGCGCAGCAGTGCGGCTCGCCTGTCGATATCGCCTTCCAGTGATCCTACCTCATGTCGAACAATGCATTGATGGCTTCATGTTTTCGTCGTTGGATCCAGAAATGTTGAATACGGCTTGCAAAGAAGGCGCGTCTGAGGAAACTCTCGAGTTTATTTTGTCGCGAACTACTCCAGACTGGAGAAATGCTATCCGTTTCGCTGCAGAAGGCGGCTACCTTCACGTGTTTGAGTGGATGGCAACCGAACGGGAAGACAAGCGTGGACCATGGAACGGAGATTTTCGACACTCGTTGGAGATTGCAGCGGGTAGCGGACATCTTGCTCTCGTCCAATGGTTGTATGAACGTGGATCTGATACTTCAATCTGGATGCATCCGCTCGAATTTACTCGCGAGTACGCAGAAAACGTTTGGAAGTATTATTATGATATACCAAGCGCGATGGGAAACGCAGCAGCAAATGGACATTTAGCTGTCGTTCAATGACTTTATGGCGTGACCAATTGCTGACGCGATTAAGAGAGCTATTTCACGTGGCCACGTTGATGTGGTGGAGTGGATTTATGAGGTCAAAGGTGACCGCTGCATAGTAGTGCTATCGAAATGTGTAGCTAAAGCGGCTGAAAATGGTCACCTCGACATGCTAAATAGGTTGGGATTGGAAGGCCTGTTAGACATGATGACAATATCAATTGACGGTGCAGCACGAAATGGGCATCTTGAGGTTATGCAGTGGTGTATCGAGAGTGATTTAGGAGAGTGCTCATCGTATACTTTGGATTTGGCAGTGACGCTGACCACCTCGCGGTAGCCAAGTGGCTGCATGATAAAATGGCGACTAATACTGCGTGCGCTTTCCGTAGCTTGGCTGTAAACGAGGCGTGGTCAGAGCGTCTTGATGGTCTTCAACGACTATTGTACGCGCATTTCTTATATGCCCAGAATGGCATGGATAAGGCTGCCAAACATGGCCACGTGGATGTGATTATGTGGTTACATGAGTACCAGCACGCGCGGGGTACACTTTGAACGGTGGTAGGTGCGGCACCTGAATGTAGTGCAATGGCTGCGTGAGCACTATTCCGACAAGTTGTCACCTTTTGTGATGGACGAAGCCGCCACCCAAGGTCATCTCGAAATTGTACAATGGTTGCATGAAAACCGAACGGAAGGATGTACGACTACAACGATGGACCAAGCGGCTTTTCAGTCGTCGTCGTCGTCTTACTTGTTGGGGGCGTGCCGAACCCGGCACAAAAGTTGAAAATTACATTGCAGCGCCTCCACAGCCGGGGTGTGGCGTGGAGGTTGCCCCTTGATTACGCTGCAATGTTGCCTTGGCCATCATGTCGCCCGCCATCCGTGCTGTTAGTTGTGAGCTCATTCTTGTGTACCGCTCAACGGCGTCCGATCTCCACCTCCCGAAAAGCTTGATGGCCAAGCTGTCGTAGCCCGCATTGAAGAGTGCTGAGGCACCTCCGCTACGAAGTGAGTGGGAGCCGTAACTGTTTGGTTCGTGCCCAACGAGTTCAGCTGCGTGTTTCAAAGCACTGACGAGGTCTCGGACTTGTAAGTTGTGGGTCCGCGTAACTTTGCAGAGTAGAGTGTCCGACTTCGCACCAATGGAAAGGTGATGCTGAACGAGATACCAGCACGCCATTACTGGGCAGCATTGGGCGTGACCAGACCGACCCAGCACACGAGTACATCCATCGCCAAACTGGTCAGTCTTGCTGCCTCGAAAACGAATTTGAACCTTTTTCACTCGATCGATCAATTCTTGGTCGCGGCCTTGATCATCCAGGAAGCGTACATCGGACCTTTGAATAGCATATTCTTTATCCCTCGTGCCGTCAGCTAGATACTCGGAGCGGCGCAAAAGAAAGAAGAAGCCCAGCACCGAAGCCCCCCAGATGACTCGGTGCTGGGCACAGGAAAAATCGAGGGAGCTGTGCAATTTTCCGAGGAGATGCATGGTGACGGGGGCCTTGGGGTTGGTTGGAGGGTCTTCTCTGCGAATGCCGACGACAGCAAGCTGGTGTCCGGGGGACAGTCCGACTTTGCATCCGACGAAGCGCTTGTGATACCACGAGATGTGGCAGAGTTTGGAGGGCACGGTGGAGGTAGAGTTGCCTCTTTCGGACGAGTTCCATCCGAATTTCCAGCAGTAGATTACGAAAAGTGCGAGCTGATATGAATGGCGCTCTTCGTCCTTGGGTAACGATTTAGGCAGTCGCATTTCCGTGCACCATCGCACCCACTGTGACCAAGTAGCTGAGTATTTAACGTTTGATGACGAGGCCAGTGAGCGGGATTGAAGTCCTTCGAGAAGTTCGTGTAGAGTTTGCGAAAGATTGGCGGCTCGGCTGTCTGTTCCCACGACACAGAAAAATTGGTCCACACAGTTTTATAAGGATCCGTCCAGGCCCTCGATGCTGCCGTGGTGTTGGTCGACCCTGGTAAATGCTCCACCGATACTCGTAAGTTGAAGTAGGCTTCGGCTAGACCAATTGCCCTGTTGATTTCTTGGCTGAGTTCATTCTTTGAAGAAAGTCGATTGCTCCACTGCACTGCTGAAATATTGTCACTCCAGCACTTCACGTGAAGCATTTGGCCGGACGAATTGCTCGACCACGACGAACCCCAGGTCCACAGTGCCAATGCGATGCACAGATGCTCCCGCACATTAATGGAGAAGCTGTTGAAATGCGTGTCATCGTTGGCGATTAGAAGAGTCTCGGTTTCGTCAAATTTTTCTTGGATAAATTTATTTGCGCCAGGGTCCAGAATCGCCAAACCCATGTTTGAAGCATCCATGTACAGTTCCACATCGGATGAAGGAAGATCACCGAACATGCTCAGGGGTAGCGCAGCGAAATTCCCATGACCCAGGATGTTTTGAAACCATCGTAGATCCGCCTTCGCCCCGGCGGAGAGTTTTACTTTTGCAAACCGTGGTGCGGCGACTGCAAGTGCTTGCAGCTGTTGGTAAAATGGCTTGGCGGCCCGCAAGCAAGTTGACACATGTCTTAGCGACCCTAGGAGTTTTTGTAGATCCGATGTTGTAGCTGCTTGATGCTGAATCATCGTATTTACTCGTTGTAGCGCCTTAGCGATTTTGTCAGCTGGCATCGATACTGTTCGCTTTTCCGTGTTCCAGAGCAGACCTAGGGCGACGAGTTCGGTGCTCCAGTTCGAGAACTTGGCCTCATTAATTGATCGGGGTCCTAGCACGGCTAACATCGCATGCCGTAGGGTTGCTTCTGCGAGATGTAGCCGATCATTGACGTCCAACTCGACTAAAATATGATCATCTACCCATTCGTAGCCAAAAAAGGGTTCGGTATCTTCGGATGGCACGTCCAAACAGCCCATCAAATGGTGGGGATCCGGACCATCCAAAGGGGGCTGCTAAGTCGATCAGTAAAATCTTGAGGTCTGTCACCAGAGCTGCCATACGAAATACTTGAGATGCTATAGACATTAGATGTCGGTATGCACCTTTCACATCGCCTTTCAGGATACATACGCGGACACCACGATGACGCGTAGCCAAGTGTTCGATACGTCGAGCAATATTAGTCACTGGCTCGTAAGTGAGGGCTGGCACCGACTTTTTCTGGTATTAATCGTTCGTAGAATTACCAAATGGGTTCGATAGGTCGTGAATGGTTCTCACTTCAACGGAGGGATCCACGTCCTTCTTCTCAACCGCTCCTAGTGGGGTGCAGATTACGTTCGACCATCGCTCCAGGATATCGGCGTCGACAACCATGTACTGCCCGCTATCTTGGCCTGCGCGGATGCTTTTACCGACGGCTTTCAGATGTCGACGACACGACCCGTGGTTTTTGGGTGGAGGCCGAACTGGTATGGGGCCATCGCCCCACTGTGCCTCGATACCTTTCGTGGCGATATTGATCAGGAGGTCTAAGTGTGGGTACCCACGTAGTACATACCGCAAACGATCCGGGTCAAGCGCCTTGTTTGGTCTACAGTCAGGTAGAGTTTTGCCTCTCAATAATTTTGCCGCGCCCTCCACGCTTAGCTGTCTCGATCGAATTATCTCCGATAGCGAGCGGCACGCAACCATGTCGATGACCGATTTGTCAGCGGAAGTAGGATGCGATCGTCGCAGCCCCCAGTGGCGGTGAAGCTGGGATATTCGAGCTTCGCCTCGAAGAAGCCTTAACTCCAGCTCATACTGTATGGTAATAGCAGACTCCCGTGAGAGTGATACCAGATTCTGCGAAGCGGTGGAGCTGTAGGCATGCGCAGCATTATCATGGGAAAGCCATCCTGGCTTGATGAGGCGCAATAGAATTCGATGCATACGCCGTGGTAGGATGGTGAGGACTTTGCTCAGGTGTTGAACGGAGATTTTCTGCAGCATCCACAGCAGTCACTATTTGAGGCAGCACAGATGTGTTACCCCAAGCAGTGGCACTAGGGGCAGGCTCAGCGTCGTTCTTAAGAGCAACCGTGCGTAATATTTTGATGTCTGATCTGGAACGGAGATTTCTGCGACATCCAAAGCAGCCAATACTTGGGGCATTCCGTGGATGTTAGCCCAACCATCAACGCTGGGGGCCGGCTCAGCATCGTTCGAGATTCGAGTGCAGGTTGTGAGAGATGACATTGACGTGGAACGGAGATTTTCTACAGCGACCACACTAATATCGCCTGTAGGTGCCGCAAAGGCACTACGAGAACGAACATCAGCGGGGGTAGGCTCAGCGTCGTTCAACTTGGGTTTGCATTCAATTATTCGGCATTCTGATCGATTCGATATAACGTTGGCAGGCTTCGTTGGGGAGTAACCGGATCGGAGCGTCATGTGTGCCGATGGCGACCGAGCAGCCACAGGTAGTCATAAGTGTTTGTATTGCAGCTTCAGTCCATCGAAGCGCTTCTCGATCTCGACTTTGACCAAGGCGTCTAGCGTTTTCGGAACAAAGTGGGCCCGGCCGTCGTGAGCTCCTTCATGAAGATCGGCATCACACCCTGCATTCGATAGAAACCGCATGCAGAGCCGGCGACTTCCTCCCTGCGTGTCGTTCTGCTTCGGCTGTTTTTGCAGCACTTTGGTCGGAATGGGGTCGTGTCCTTTCCTTTTTCCTCGCTGTCTCGCCGAGGCGGAACGGCCCGGGATGGCCTGCGTTGCTTCGACCGTGCCAAAGGGTGCTCTACTCGTTGAGCTCATCTGTTCTAATTGCTGAATTCGCCGTTCTTGGACTTCTTGCAATATTTCAAGCAGAAGGGGGTCATCCAGCGTGCATCGAAGTCGAATAGCACCCGGATCTTTATCCGAAGACGCGACTGCATTTTGGTAGCTTTCGAGAACGTCGTTCACCCAGTAAACAAAGGCCGGTATGTCCTCCGGTTCCCAGCGCAGAGCCATAATCTTGGCCTCAATAAATCCAATGATGGCATCCACCAGCTCAATCGCGCTAGTGACGCAGTATTCGCGCGCGAACACCTGGAAAACGCGCACCGCACCAACAACGTCGTTGATGCTGGTGGCTGCTGGAGCTGGTTCGAAGTCCGCTGTCGCCGAAAAGTTCGAGAAATTGGCACTGCCCGAGTCTATCCACTCCATACGTTTCTTTCTGTCCATAAAGCTGCAGTGCATTATCGAGGGACCTTCAATGCCAAACTGGTAGTCGTACGCGCGAGTCAACACGCCGGGGAGAGACTTGCAAAGCAGGGCACCGGATCGGATCTGACTATGCACATAAGTATCAGGGTCCTTACCTTTGTGGCGCTCCGATGTTAGCTTGTCGTGAACTTCCTGGCGCTCTCGCTGTGGCGAAAACGCATACTTGGACTTCTTGGTCGTGCTCTTGGCCTTGCAATGGTGGTAGCGGTTGTTTTTCTTCATCATCTGCTGATGCACTGGACGCTTGAGTCCTGGACTGCTCACGGAGGTTCAGGAAACGGTCGAGTAGTTCGGGGTCGTGACTTAGCCTCGCTACAATCAGGGCATCCTTGTGGAGATAATCAGTGGCCTCTGTGGTACGGCGTCTTTGGTGTGGAGGCTCAGCAACTTCCTCACTGGTACCATGGAGGGATTGGCTGCGTTTTGATCCTGCTGCTTGCACAGTGGCTGGAACCGGTCTGGCGATCGGGTCCGACGCATCTGGAAAACCGTCGTCATCATCGTTGAAGGGGTCGAAAAGTTCACATGACTCGGTATTGCCAGATTGGCATTGTACCTCTTGTGTACCGGTGGACACCACATATTCGTCGTGTGCGCGGCAAAACGATTCGCCAAGTGCCGCCGGCTTCACCGGCGATTAGAAGGCGTAGTCGAGCGCGTGTTGGAGAGAAAATTGTGTCTCTGATCCCGACTGAGGATCCACCCACTTGCAGATTGCAGACGGCTCGGGATGATTCTGTTCGTCGATCAGTCCACTAAGTATACAGCTGATAGACCGGCTTCCCTCGTTATTCCCTTCTCCCAATACCCTCGATAGTATGGCCGTCTGCATGTTGTCGACGTCCGCAGAACTCCACTCGCTCGTGTCGAGCGCGACATGCTGCAGACGTAGAGCCACCACAGGCGCCACCACCTTGATCGCGTCGACTTGAGCAACGATTTGGGTACCGTCGGACTCGACTGTCACCTCGCGATCCTCAACACCAACGACTTGACCATGGAAAGTCTTGGGCTCCGGATCTCCCGTGGTGACGGCCACTGGCCGGCGAAGCAGCGACACCCTCCCCATCTTGTTCACGGCCGCTATCGTGACTGTTCGGCGAGCGGCGACTGACCGCGAAAGCGCTCCTTCTTCCCCGTCAAAGCTTCGGAACTTGACCTCGTCCCCCTCTATACCGACGACTCGGGCATAGAATGGGAGAGGGAAGGCGCCTGCCGCTACGTCCTCAGGCAGGAGATGCAGTGTCGATCGCGACGTTAGACGCGGCATGTTGCTGAGGCGAATGCAGAGAGCCGAAGGCTCGCTTTTCTAAAGCTGTGAGCGCTGTAAAGGACGTCTGAAACTAACGCTGTTCTACGTCTTCATCTGCGTTGGTTTCAACTTCCTGCCTTCCTTCTAAAAAGCTATTTTCACTGCTCCACTCGTGAAAATCTTCATTTAATGGGCATTTCGATGTCGTGCTATGGCTAATCTCACATAGAACCGAGGAGTTTTCTAGCGATGTTACGGGGGAACCCCGGCACTTTGAGACATTTATCCTGAAAGAAGATACGTTCTTTACCATCGTGGAGTCTACACACGACCGAAAGGAAAATGATCAAGTGAGAGCAGTCCACGCCGCATTTAAGATGCGCCCCAAGTTTGTTCACCACTGCCTTCAATATTTGGCGGAAGTTGCTCTTTCACGGAGTTTTCTAGCCATTTTGGACTGGATGAAGAGATTCGGCCTCAAACTACGATCTACCGCGCGCATCCGCAATGCTGTCACTGGAGGCAACTTGAGTTTGGTGAAGTGGTTTTATCAAAATCGATTCGAAATATGCGAGCCTGGGCTAGCTGTGGAGTATGGGTACCTAACTGTGGCCTTCTGGCTATCAGAGGGCGGCTACAAGATGGATCTGTCGAAATTGCTCGAGGTGACAATCGAGAGGATGCTCTTTTCGGGTAATGTGACACCGATAATACCTTGACCGATTGAGAAGGGGGTCCCATTATCGCTACATGTGGTAAGGAGAATTATGCTTTCGTCCAGTTACGTGGATTTAGCTCGATGGCTTTGTGAAAGCGATCGTGTGGAGCTGCTACTCTCGACACTCAAGAACGAAAACGAAATCTATGCGTGGTGGCTGTTGACGCACACACGCTTTGAGCAAGAAACCTCGCAGATAAAAATCCGCACAGCTATCCAGGAGACGACCAGTCCGATGCGCAAGTGGTTGATGGCGACTATCGACGACGCTGAAGTCAATCGATTGGGTTTGTCAGGGAAGAGAACGATGCTGAACGGCGACGTTGCGTCGGAGCAGCTTCTACCACCTTCAAAATGACTTTGTGAACAGAAGATTTCGGCACAGACTCGTCCTGTTCAGTAATGCATTCACGAATAATACTAAATGCTCGGCTACACCGTTATTATTATGTGCCATAAGCCAGCCACAATTGCTGCCAGACGCATAGTGAACAGCATTGTGGTGTATGATTCTTCTATAAACCGGGTGCGCATCAAAAACCACCACGTTAACACACGCTGTTGGTTACGCAGGGGTCAAAGTACCAGTTACGACCGCTTTCGCAAAGCCACGACTTCCAACGCCAATGTCCTCCATAAGCCAGTGAGATAAGACCAACCGCCCATTTTCAACTGCTAGCCGCAACAGACCACGCTGGCACATTTCAGAGCAACTATCGTGAATACATTTCACCAAATGGATTTTCTAGCTCTAGCACTAAACTCCACTCCACGACTCGAACTGATGTCTGCAGGCGGCTTTTGAGTTGCGTCCTGCATTTGTCCTGGGTGGCCTTCGGTACTAGACAGAAATTGCTAATCGAGAGAGGTTGCTTTAACCCCTCCAACCCTAATGCTGGATTAAGATTTTTCTTAATCTGCATGTATGCAGTTTAAGCGATTTTTGACTTGAAGTTTGTATGGGTTGTATTTTCCCTTGCTACATGGTACACAAACTTTATGTTTAAACTTTTTCGGGTCTCTGTTCGCGCCTTTCTTTTGCAACATAGAAAAGGACGGAGATTTTCTCAAAATTCAAAATATGGGATCTAGCAGGTTCCCCGTACTCCACCTGATTTGCATAAAATACTATAAGATTTTGGGACACTCCAAACGAGTGGTCCAGCACTTTGCCGCTCGCCGCCTTTCGAAAAACGGCCTCATTCGAGAATTTGCGCGCGCGGAGCACACGTCGACAGAGGAACTGCCCGTGGAAAATCGCGCTTAACTGCTAGCCTGCGGGAGCAAGGCTAGGCACGGGCTGGACGACCACTACTTCTACCTGCGGTCTGGAGGCGACGCAAGCAGCACCAACGGCGTACACTTGTCCGTGGCGATAAATCGATGGGTGAGTCCAGCGCAATTCGTATGATTGTATTGGTATATGGTAGTCTCTCACGCGCTTATAGGCTCTGTATGCAGGTCTCGACTCGGAACCCGTACACCAGAACCAGTATTTCTTCTTCTTCGACTTTGTTACGGATTCCTCCCCGGATTCAACCCAGCTTCCGCGTGCGCAGCTAGTGGTGCTCGTATCACTGTCGCCGCCAACGTCAGTCGGATGAACTACGCGGCTGAGAGCACCCTCCTACTGCGGACGCAACCAACTAACCATCATTCACGTGCGGTTTCAGCGCTGGGCGAGTCGGGTAAGTTGAATGTTATCATGGATGTACTATACTGTACTGTAAGCTTCATCTTATACTGAACATTTTCCTGAATACGTTTTTCAGGTGCAGTTTATGAAGCTAGCGGGCTTGTCAACAAGTTGATAGCGAACAACAACGACTGAGCCTGGCGCGATCGAGCCATGAAGCCTTACTGTGCTCCAGATGACGAAAATGTTGGATCGTAGCTGGATTTAGTGCCAAGAACGTTTGAGCACGCCCGGGGGCGATATTGAAGTGTTGGCGAGCAATCACTCAAAGACCCGCCCGAGTCTGCGCGGAATGTCAACGAGGCGGAAAAACTTCTTATTTCACAAGATGGTTGTGTATGGACAACGGAAATGAAGCTATTCCGTTTAGGTAGCCTCTAAGTAACAGCTTATACCCACACTGGAAGACAATGCAATTTACCCTAGCATTCCATGCGTCGACTTAGTACTTACAGCATGCGTTCTTAGGCGAAAGGATACCCGGTCGCGCCATGCTCGGGGAGCATGTCAGCTGGTGTTTTCACCGCGACAAAGTACCAAGTGCTAGAATGTAAAATACGCATATGCGTTCATGACGGGTTGCAGGCGGGCATGACAAAGTGCGGCTGAAGACGTCTGGTTTTCTCTTCATGAAAGCCCAGCACCATGTACGAGATGGACTACGACCTGCTGAGAAGTTGCCCGAGTGATGCCGACATGAAAAACAGATTGAAGGCAACACCATCAGAGCACAAGGACGGTAGAGCTTTGCCTGACACTCTGCGGCGAGAAAAGTTGTCGCATATTGTCATTGTAATTAAGCTGCATATTATCCTGGGACTAGGCTGTATAAAGACAGGATAACGATGATTGCATGTGTGTTGTTTCTACAGGAAGCACTCTGTTTACCACTGTAGTGCAGCTTCAATCGCCCGTTTACGCACATTTCAGCTGGCATCACGTTCGTACGTTCGTGCAAGCCGATCTTGACCTGCATCCTGCGACCCCAGTTTATGAGCATTACACCACTGCTAGACGTGTGTTCAAGCAGCTGTTGACAACATGCTGGATGCTTACTTCACTAGATATTTGTATACAACAAAAAACGCTCAGTGGCGTTTCCTTTGATTGCCTTACCAGCAAAGAATGATCGCGTTACCAGCTAGGGGTGACACCCCAACCTGTACATGATTCACTGTATGGGAAGTTTGATTTTCGAAATTTTAGAAAATGAGGACAAGGTGCAGTGCCGGCGAGCGTATGTTCTGTTCCGCTACTGCCCTGTCCACTGTCTTGGTAACCCGTATTATGAAGTTTAGCTGTGCTAAACACGTTGCAGTGGGTTAAATACGATTGTAGTATTTTTCACGGTTAAATCGACATACGCAGTCGTAAAATTCCGCTAAATACTTGAGCAAACGTAATCAAATGCAGCAATCATCCAGATGAGCACTATGGCGTATTTACGATTGTGGTCTAACAAACGAAACACGATTTTCGCGCCTCACCAACGCAGTTTCTTCGGCCTGAGGGCACTGAACGGCATCAAGAACTGCTATTCGTGCTCAGGTCGAACCATGGCGACTAGCGCTAATCGAGCTGCAGCTTAGTTGGAAAACTGAGACGATCCGGCCCCAGAGTCGTCCATGGCACTGGCTTAAACTCGCAAGGCAGCCAGAGACTTCGTCGACTAGGAAACGACAGCATAAAGGGTGCGGGTGGAGCCTTAGAGGGAAAACGATGAAGCGCGTAGTTTGCACAGTGACTAAACAAATAATAGCTGGACGTCGCTCATATCACCTGTGTCTAATAATTACAAAACCCGTACAAATCGCAACAAAATGCACAAAATTTTATTGTGCTTTTCACGTATTTTGGCGGGTGAGCTGTTAATTCAGGCGGAATTAGAGACATAAAAGGGCGACCAACGCTTATTTAGAGCTAATTCCGCCTAAAATTGTGAGTGCTTCCCCTGACTTCCACCCCTTGGAGTACGACACATTGACTGAGGTCCACTATTGGGCAGTTAGGATCGCATCCTTCCGGGAAAGCGTAAGCGGCGGTAGCCAACGATAAGCGGAGACTCCTATTGGTCAAAATAAATCTACCTAAGTATGCGAATAGAGTTCAACGCAATGAGATGCTTTGACGGCCTCCAGGCTCCATTGTGGTTAAGCAACTACTTTCCGAACACAGGCCCACGCCATCCTGCATTTCATGTTCATTATTGTCTCCGTCTCTCGGTAGTCTCCGCAGAGTGTTCCTGCTGTTGGGTCGCGTCGTCGTGCCATTTGTTCAGCGGTACGTCACAGCGTAGCCTCAGACGGGTGAACGTCACCGCTCATGTCCTTGTCGGCCGCCGCGCTCGCCTCCGTGGACGTCACCGTCTTCTCCGTCTCGGCCGAGTCGACGTCGGCAGACATTGTCTTGGAGCGGGTGGCACTCATGGCCGAACCAATGACAGTAGCAACAGTCACTATCTGCACGCCGAAGGAATGAGTGGAGGGGGTCCACTACTCGGTGGAGTATCATCGGCAGGAGTAGCCATACATAGGATCGAAGGCTCACGGATACCATCGCGAAAGGTGAGCGCGCTGTGCGATAGTGGCCAAGCAGTAGGCGCTCATGGGTCATGATGACCGCCGCAGTTTGTTCGAACTTTGAACTTATCACACTTCGTGTTTAACTCAAGTCATAACGCGATCCTTTTCCGGATGCGCCTAGCTCCGTCGTCGTAATTCGGCTTCAGCTTTTCATGTTGTTTTCGGTTGTCACGGCCCAAACACCGACATTTATCTGGAATGCATATGCTAATAAATTTGCCGCTTGGATATACATTGCACTTGAGGTCTTTCCGAACGACTTATGTGACCTCAAGTGTACTTGTACTGTCAGCTAGTGAATCCGTCCCTCTTTCGGTCCAGCGCTAATCAGGTCATTTTAGCCAATCGGAGCGCTCCATTAAAGCGTCGGCGGCCGAGACTTACGTTTTCTCAAGTCAATTCAATCTTGTGACGGCTATTATTATAAATGACAAGCGATGGAATCGAAATGGGTATCGTTGAATTATGATAAAACAAAGAACTAGGGCTCCGCGAAGGCTGGGATAGGAGAATTTTGGTATAAACCACTTCTTTATTTTTTTTAATATATGTGTCTTATTAGCTACGGTCATCTCCTGCGCCTGCTTCACAGCCGCAGCATCTGTCCGGAAATCTGCCAGTTCAAACTGTCTACCGGCAATGACTTACGAAATTAAAAATGCGAACCTTGGTCGAGATCTGTTTCGAGCTTGTAGAAAATACAAACGCTTACCGTTCGTATTTACTTCATTTCGTTCATACGTACCCAGCTCAATACATACAATGATTCATACCAGTGTAGGAAGCTTCCGGGTCTATCCCCAGCCCGGTCGTCCCTTACTACAGGTAGCCAGGTCTCGTCCAGCCCGACCACCCGTAGTGTTCCGCGTCCACCACAGATAACCAGGTCCCGTCTAGCCCGGTCGCCCATAGTGTTGCACGCGTCCACCACTCGTACGAACACCATTATCGTTGTCGTGTCCACGCCTAGGTGGGCCAGTATAGCGCCGACTGCCAGCAGGTGCGAGGCAGTACAATGATCGACCAGACAGGTACTGGCCCCTTCACCAGGCGTGTCGGGGATAGGGACGGCTGGGAGGGCCAATACAATCAACCTGGGCTCCGGCAGGCCACAGGCGACCCCCACCGGACATGTAAACAGGTCGAACAGCATCTTCGTCACGGCACTCGGGCACGCCCAAGCACTCGAAACCGCTGTCCTTCACGGCCAAAGTGCTGTCAGGAGTGCACCTCGTCCCCCACGGCTTCTCCGCCACCCTACTCAATACATTGCCCTCATCTGTGCACCGTCCGCCACTATCGCTTACCTTATGCCACTTACTCCTGTGTCTAGCCGACACTTCCCTGGTCGCAAGACGCTTCCCTGGTACTAGGTCACAGGAACCCGCGTTTCGGCGCAACTGAGTGTATTACAAGTCTTGACTCGTTACTATCCAGCAACAAATCGCAACGGAGGGTCGAGCTGCCCCCACTTACTTCTAACCCCCGCCGATCTACCCTATCCTATCCACTCGGCGCCTTCTAGCCTACTTGGACCTCTCCCTCTCGGGCCCTCATCTCCTTCCTCGTGGTCTCCTGGCCTCACACTCGCTCTCCAGCGTCGCCTCTCCTCTCTGCATACTCGTTCTCTGTCCTGTTCGCAGGTCACCTCGCCTTGCGATCTTCTGCAGCCGTCAACTTCAACTGCTACCTCCTGTCGCACGTAACGGTAGCCCACTGGCTCGCTTCCGTCACCACTAGCCGCCGTCCCCACAGTCTTCGTCACCAACTGCTGCTCGGCGTGCCACACCAGCTACTCCGTCAAGTCGATCACGACCTGGACGCTGTTCCGCAGATCCTGCTCGTGTTTCTCAGAGGCGGGACGAGTCACCACACTACACCAGTGTTGTCGGTAGCGCGCCGGTTCGATCTGCCCACGCATATACACTTTTTGGAGGGCCCTGTACGGCACCGGAGTCGTACCGATTTCAAGAAAATGCACCAGTTAGATGTCAAGAGGGGTCATTGTTTGACTTGACGTACCACGGATATAATCCGATTTGGTCTGCGATAGCAGCACTAACGTTGCTTCCTATCCCCGTATTAAGATTGAGTTAGATTATAAAACAACGAGTTAGAGCTTCATTTAGACAAAAATGAAGTAAAGCACAATAAAATAAGCTTTAAAAAATTATCTTGGTCGCCATACTAAGGACGATTGTGATATGAAACCTAGAAAAATCTGCGGTACGCTAGTTAGAGGCTATTTCTTAATTTTTTTAAACTTCGAGAACGTTGTTGCTGGAGTTCGTATTGATTGCGCGAGCGTTCCAATACAGGCGTCCCCGGGCTAGTCCCGGCTGTATATTTTAATGTACCTCGCACAGGAAGTACAAGCAGTTCTCAAGATTTGCGCGCAACTTCTGCAAACATATTGACTTAGATGAGTGTACAGCGAGACCTACTGCGACAAGTGGCACGTTGCGGGATACCAAGCTTGTAGTAAGTCAGTATTGTGAATTCCGGCCAAATTTTCCAAATCGCGGCGGTTTGGAGACCCCGCCCCAATCGCCAAATACAAAACTCAAGTCATTTGCTCAATCTCCGGGCCCAAACCATATGGTCCAAGTGCCCGCATGTCAAGACTAATTCGTACTTAAACGGGTGCCTATAACCAATCCTAGTGGCCACGGAGATTGGCCGGAGATTTGGCTTGGGCGGTTCAACAAACCTCCCGCGGAAATTTTGAACAGAACACACAATACAGAGAGTAGCGGCAATAAGAAAGGGTCAACAACTTATAATTCTGACAACAAACAAATATAGAATTACACAGGGCCTCTATTTAGGTACTGAGTTTGTCAAAGTGATGTGGCACACACACAGCAGTCAAGGTTCCCGCGCATTTTTCAAACTCCAAGGACGGAGCCACAGTGGCTCCGTGTACACGCAGTGGCCGGCAGTAGATAGTTGGCTCCATATAAAAAAAGGAAAATTCCGGAATATGATTCAAAGTGAATATGAACTCAAAATGAAATTTTGTGCAAAAGGTGATACAAGGCTTTGTGCCAAGTGCATTTGGCCACCGATAGCGGCCAGCACCTGACTGCCATGCACGTCGCTGAATGCACCTATTGTGTCAGTATAGCACTGGGTAAACGCGAAGGCGGTGCCGGTGTAGGCATCGCCCTCTGCCTAATAGTTGTTTTGGTGGAGTATGGTCGCCTTCTGTGTCGCTTAAGCGACACTGCCCACGCTGGATAAAGCATGATTGGATGCCTTACTCCCCATGCCGCCGCTGGAGGCAACAATGTCGTGGCCAATGCCCTAGCAGAACCTGAAATATGTGCTCTCGACACAAATCCTTCTATCACCTTTTGCACAAATTTTAATATTGAGTCACCTTCCTGAAATTTCCCTAAGAAAAATGATGGTAGGCGCTGCAAATGAGGGGCTTCGCCCCTCATTTGCTACTTTGAACATAGTACGTAACCACTGTTTGGTACTGCTAGCGCATGTATTAATGGTTGTTGTTTTGGATTTGGCTTAGCTTTGTAGTGGCACCAAAACACTCGACCACTCAGTAGGCGAAGTATTAGCACAACACTTGGCTACTTCGTAGCCAAAGAAGATATCTATTAGTTTCTTCAAAGTGTTCCAGTATGGAAGATATAGTTGTACTCGAGTTGGTAAAATCGAGCTAACGTTAGATACAACCGAGCAGACTTTTTGGAATTTAAAGTAGTCCTCCCAGCCTAACGCAACCAATCCTGCAGGCTACCCTGTGAACGGCGCTCCGTCGGCCAGCGTCTACAATGCTCCCGCGACGGCTGTCAACAGTGCGCCTGCCGGCACTGGTACCACCTACAGTAACGCCGCGCCTGGACGTGGAAACGCCAATGCCAATGCGAACGCGAACGACGGCAACAACCCCAGCGGCGACTCGAGCAAGACCGTCACCGTCTTGAACGGAGACGGCACGTCCAACACGGCATCTGTGACGAGCAGCAACGGTGCCGCGATGACGGGCGGCGCATCGGCGAGCGTTACGGCGAGTGCGTCTGCAAGTGCGTCGGCTAGAGCCACGGCTGGAACGTCGTCTCAGAAGGCGTACCGTCAGCTTCGTTCGGTGGAGTAAGCAAGTGTGTGTTTAGCCCGCCCGAGTCATCCATCACCGCTCTGGTTCGTCCGGTCTCGAAATACGTGTTAGCTTTGTTGCTGTGTCAGTTCATAGTGAAAGTCATGCTTCAATCTTATCAATGCGATCGATGTTTCCTCTGATGAACTCGTTGTTTGTGTCAGTTGGTGGTGTGGGTTATCAATGCTTTGTTGAGGTCGCGTGTACATGTATGTATACCCGCGAGTACCTAGCCGATGTTAGCAGGAGAAACTGTCTGTCAGTGTGATGCTGTGCTGCTTGTTTGGTTTGGCGTCGGTCACAAAAGCTACGACCGTGTGTTGTGCCGATCTTGGATATCAAAGGTCGCACATCTTTCCAACTTCAACCACGAGCATACAAACCTCAGTACAATATGGAACATACAAATTTAAGCATAAAGCTTCAGTACAAGATCGAACAGCCAAACTTCAGCATACAACTTGTAGCGAAGCCCAGAATAACCGACATCCCATCATCGGGTAGGTTAGCACTCGTTTTTGTTATTGAATTGAGCATTGTTGTCACTTAGCTATCCGCTAACGACTACTAAAGACCAGCCCCGCAGATGCCAAACGAAGGTTAGCACTCGTTGCCAAGGCAGTAGCATGGGCTACATGCGATAGTAGCAGCAGCCGCAATAATATACCAATATGCACAAGCCGTAGATTTTTTTAATATTAAAATGGGGTCGTATACTGATCGGGTCGGGGGATTTGATCGGTCTTGCCTATACACGATTGTAGTGTTAACACTTTCGAGAGAGGCCTCAGAAAGACCGTTTGCAACCGCAGCGAAGTGGAGGTCTGCAATGGTCGGCGCGTGGGCCGGAGTAGGTATGTCTAAGTAGGAGTCATCATCTTTTTACCAACGCCTTGCCCGCTATGAGCGAAGCGAAATTGGCGGTGCAAACGGGGAGCTCACCCAGGCGAAGCCCGACCAAATCCACCGACCCGATCAGTATACGATCACATAAAAAGTCAATCGCCAGTCGTTTTGCGTTTAGAAGAGCGGCTCTTGCTACTGACACCGAAAAAAACACCCAACGAAAAAAACACTGGGGCCCTTCCCGGTCTTGCACAGCCGGCCGGGGATAGATCTCACGGCCCTCAAATCGTGAAAACCTCAAAGTGCTCCAGGGAAATGAATGCCTTGAATCCCCCACGAAATCGATGAATCTGGGGTTGGTCTCAATGGAAAGAGGGAGGAATAGCCTAGCCTAGGCCTGGGCCTAAAGCGCACTGCTCCAGGCCACGCTCTCGCTTCACAGGCACCGAAATTGCAGTTTTGGGGGATCTGGTTTCACCTTCCCTCTACCGTCTCTACCCCGGCCTCGGTTATACGAAATCATGCCAGCACACACATAGAGACACCGAAAAACACACTTAGAGTCTACAGCTTTCCGGTGTCAGCAGAACTTTTCTAAGAAGAGCACTGGAAAATCGACAAGTTTGTTCTAATATCTTTCCAGATTTGGGTAAGACCTTTTCCCATTGGAGAGTTGCCAAAGCCAGCCGTACGACTGGATACAGCAAGACTGTATCCAGTCGTACGGGATCCACGAGCCCATAGCACGGCGCTGAGGGTGTACTGAAGTCTAGGGATTCCAGTGGAAGTGCGTCGACAATTGCCACGAGGTTTTAGGTCGTCTTTTCCGTGGAGGATTCGACTCAAACGAGCTCTTTTGTGCGACAGGGGCCAACAAGAGCAACGACAGGTTTTTAAGCGGGTTGGGACACTGACGAAGATAACTTTAAGCTTGCGCTGTGAAGTGTCATATTAGTACTGTAGTCGTCTGTATAAGAAACCGACTGTCAAACTTTGGGTGCCAATACCACCAAGTTGAGAATTAAAAATTAAATAAATTCGCTAAACTCGGGTCTGGGCAGTCAGCATGCACAGGCTGGGAGTGACGTATTGGGAGCTAAGGTTGCATTGTATTACCACGCAACCATTAGTTTGTAAATCTTCGGTTTACGGCTCTACTTCTACGCTTCGAATGGAGAACAGCAGAGCGCGAATCGCATGCGATTTCGGCGAGACCTTCTCAGCTCTGATACAGGTGAAAGGTGTATCCGTTGTAGATACGGTCGTACTTCCCCTTCTGCTTGGGGTCCGCGATTGCCAACCAGTTCTTGATCTTATCCAGGCTGTACCCCTTCTTTGCCCACTTCTCGTACGCTTTCTGCTCCTTTGAAGGGTCCGCCAGCATCGCCTTGGCCAACTTTTTGGCCGCCACCTTGTTCCACAGGTCAGTCACGCTGAAGGTCCGCTCCCCCGCATCGTCCTCTTCATGAGCTCGAAGAAATCTTCCACCGGCAATGTCGCCGTTCCTGAGCGAGCGACGGACGAGATCTGGAGATTCCACCATGGCGATATTGGTTTCGTCGGAGTACTCAGTTGCGTTGCAGGTCACGACGTAGCCAATGGCCACGACAAGAGAAAGCACAAAAGATAGACGCATGGTTCGTGATACTTGGCGACTTGAGGACTTGCTGGCTGGAGAGCGAAAGGAGAAATGTCGTTATTGGGTGGCGGCGGACACAAGTGCTCTCCGTTGTGGTGGTTCCTCTTGAGCATGCACGCCGCCACTTTTGTTCCAGTGCAACAGAACGACAAGGGATCATTTCCTTGGATGTGCATGCTCTGGATTGTATTATTGTTTTTTTTTTTTCGAAGGCAACCTCCTCGGTGTTTGATTCTGATCGACAAGAATCAGTGATGGCGTGAAACAGACGAAATGAACATTTCATTTCGATAATGTATCTCATTTAATGAGATACATTATCGCGTAGCCGAAGGTATGGCTGCGCTAGACTCATCAAGAACAACAGATCATCAAAATACGAATGTATATGACTCAAACACAACAATAGGGGGCTTCCCGAGAGATGCCACAACTGCTTTATCCAAGCCTGATTTCCTTCAATCTCGGTCAACTCTGATGGTGATATGGTACAGTGTATTTGAGCTCTGATCATTTAATCCGTCTGTAAGCAAGTCAAGTGAACGGTGCAAAGATCGGTGCTCACATACCAATTTTAGGAAGTGTTCAACTCTTTCCAACTATAACGCTAAATTTCATTTGTTAAAACTATTTGCCTACCAGCCAATCATTTCAGTGCATAGTGTTTGCATCGCCCTCATTTTCAAAATGCCACCGCAACGTATACCCACCCCTCCAGCTTCCGGCTGGAGATTGCTCAAGACTTCCTGAACAAGCCATTCTGCGCCATGCAAGCTCTGGGCATGATTACGCAGGACACAGTATTGGAAGGTCTTGGATGCAGAGGAAGTTCACCGCGGCGACGGACGCGAGGACGGCGACGGAAGAAAGGGTAGGATGGAGACTTAGGAAGTCCGGAGAAAGTTGAAAAGCGATTGAGGTGGGGCCAAAGCTAAAAATCAAACGAACTACAGCCTGCTATCTTCTCCTCGAGCTGCTGCTGCTCTCACATGTAGCCACAGCGCTTGATGCGCGGCCGTGGCGCCCCACGATTGGCTGCCGTGCCGATGACGGCTTGAACCTTGAGTGATGGCTCGAGACGATGCCTGACTTGATGCCGCGAGACGTCGTCGAGCTTCAATTGCAACTGGTTGTCCGGGCCATGCACCGAGGTAAACCATGTGCGCCTTAGTCGCGGTCAATGCGACTGCCTTCGTTCGTCGCTCGTTCCTGCTGTTCCAACACACAGTGCGGCACTCTTTCGACAAGGCCGGCCCGTTCTTCGGCTGCACCAGAAGCGTAGACGTGCAAGGAATGCTGGACGAAGCTCGACTTCTCAACGTTGTGGATGCTCAAGACAACGACGTTGGCAGTGTCCAAGGTGTGCTAGCAGGCGAGGTTGAAGTGATCGTGGGTGAAGGTATCAGCATTTAATATGATTGGCCAAATATATGCCGACTTTTTTCAAGTCAAATTCTGTAGAGATTATCCTGAGGAAATCTCGATATTTAGTAAGTGTTCAGATCTTTTTGCTGTTCACATCTTTCCGAAAGTGTCGGTATTTAAATCGATTTCGTTCGACCATGCTTCGGCGCGGCGCATCCCAGTGCATACATTGTATTAATACTGTATGCACTACATGTACCGTTGGAGATGCACTAAATGTAATCAAATCTTTCGTTATGCTCGTCATATGTAGCTACATAACGCAAACCTAGATGACGTAGCAGAAGGTTTGACGAACATACAGTGCAAACGTGAATGATGCAATGGAGCGCAATCCTCATCCGCACTTGTTTCAGTGGCAGTGGAGGCGAGGCTCTCACTTGCGCCACCTCCGAGCAAAAGACACGACCTGAATTATGCTTCTTCTTTAGTAAGTGTTCAGATCTTTTTGCTGTTCACATCTTTCCGAAAGTGTCGGTATTTAAATCGATTTCGTTCGACCATGCTTCGGCGCGGCGCATCCCAGTGCATACATTGTATTAATACTGTATGCACTACATGTACCGTTGGAGATGCACTAAATGTAATCAAATCTTTCGTTATGCTCGTCATATGTAGCTACATAACGCAAACCTAGATGACGTAGCAGAAGGTTTGACGAACATACAGTGCAAACGTGAATGATGCAATAGAGCGCAATCCTCATCCGCACTTGTTTCAGTGGCAGTGGAGGCGAGGCTCTCACTTGCGCCACCTCCGAGCAACAGACACGACCTGAATTATGCTTCTTCTTTAGTAAGTGTTCAGATCTTTTTGCTGTTCACATCTTTCCGAAAGTGTCGGTATTTAAATCGATTTCGTTCGACCATGCTTCGGCGCGGCGCATCCCAGTGCATACATTGTATTAATACTGTATGCACTACATGTACCGTTGGAGATGCACTAAATGTAATCAAATCTTTCGTTATGCTCGTCATATGTAGCTACATAACGCAAACCTAGATGACGTAGCAGAAGGTTTGACGAACATACAGTGCAAACGTGAATGATGCAATGGAGCGCAATCCTCATCCGCACTTGTTTCAGTGGCAGTGGAGGCGAGGCTCTCACTTGCGCCACCTCCGAGCAACAGACACGACCTGAATTATGCTTCTTCTTTAGTAAGTGTTCAGATCTTTTTGCTGTTCACATCTTTCCGAAAGTGTCGGTATTTAAATCGATTTCGTTCGACCATGCTTCGGCGCGGCGCATCCCAGTGCATACATTGTATTAATACTGTATGCACTACATGTACCGTTGGAGATGCACCAAAAGTAATCAAAGCTTTCGTTATGCTCGTCATATGTAGCTACATAACGCAAACCTAGATGACGTAGCAGAAGGTTTGACGAACATACAGTGCAAACGTGAATGATGCAATGGAGCGCAATCCTCATCCGCACTTGTTTCAGTGGCAGTGGAGGCGAGGCTCTCACTTGCGCCACCTCCGAGCAACAGACACGACCTGAATTATGTTTCTTCTTCAGCGTGCGTTCCTCCTGGCCATCGACCATCTCCGATGGTGCCTGTTTGGCACTCGTATCGGCCGAACAAGGCGCCACGGCCGGGCGCAATACCTTATCCCTGCGATCGATGATGGCTACTGAAGACATGGCAACCTCGACAAGATCACTACGATCTCAAGCTACGAACGTGGACGACGATGCTAACGTTTCGATTGAAAACAGAGGGATGAACCCTTCAGTCCTGACCAAGCTCGGCGAATTTGCTTCGACGTTGACGGCTGGCAATACGGCGAACAAGTTATGGCTGATGGCTGACGTGGACCCAAAGTCCGCGTTCAAGTTGCTGGGTCTTGACATGCCAGGGGTCCGCTTTATCGACAACCCGAAGATGTTACAGTGGCTCAAGTTCACAAAAGCGTATTTAGACATGAAAAAGTCGGGGTTTGGCGAGACAAGCGCACATGCTCTTCTGTATGAAAAAATTGGAGGACCCGACTTGTCACTACTTCTCCTAAGCCTGAAGGACGCTCCGGATGCGAACAGCTTGGTTCAAAAACTGACGAATTCTCAGTTTGGTATGTGGCATGACGCTCGAATCGAACCAGAACAGCTCGCACAAACGGTGTTCAAAATTCAAGACGTCAGGAAACTACCTAAAAACGACCCAAAACTTCAAGTTATCGATGACTACGCGAAGTATCACAGAAAGCACCGGAAGTTTCTGAACAGCATCATGATTATCTGAGCGGTTCGTTTGGAGGAGCGGTTTAACATTCGAGAGTCGGATTGGTACTACTTTGTAGCTGGTATTACTCGGAGTGTGGTGCGCAGACATATTTCTGAAAGTTAAAGTTGTCATGAAACCGTTTCAAAGCACTGCAGGACTACGTTTCAATTTATAACAGATACTCTCTGTTCGTTTTTGCGGAGTTGCGCTTGCAGGGGCTTCGCGAAAACGATCGAGTGCAGTTGGTGGTGGATAAAACTAAGAACAGCAACAAACCCTTTGTTTGGTGCATACACGCTCTGAGGAAGAGGCCTCGCAGAGTAATAATCCGCGATGCTAAGCGACACATCATATGCGCAAGTGGCTGGAGGCAGCAACTCATGACTCAGAAGGCTATGGGTGGCGTTTTTCAGGGAAGAGAGCGGGCGATATTCGGCGGTGAAGTTACATTGAAGGACTCGCTTTCTCCTGCGAAACGAGCTCGAGCGCATTAGCTTTCGACAAAACATTCGCGAAGGTACAACTTAGCAGTAGCATTAAGAGAAGAAATGGCCCGAAGTAGCGACAGTTAGCTATGCTTTATTTCAATAAGAATCTCATAACGAACATGAAGCCGCGGAAGATCTTTGAGGTCTGGGTAGATATCATTGGCTGCTTCGTTCGCAGATAGAGGTTACAACCAAAGGCTGGATTAAATGGCGACAACACGGTGGATCTTGTTGCTCTGAAGATTCACCTTCTCTTCGAGCTTGTCGGCCCCACTCGACGTAGAGCTGCGGCGGCTGAGTTGGGAGAGACCACGAAGTCTACCGGATGAACTTGAGTGGGCCGGGTTGGTGGAGAACGATGGGCCTGTGCGCTTGGAGGCCCACGATCCGACCGAAACCATTGCCCCAATTCCGCCGATACTGTCAGTAGCTCGAAAACTGGACGAGCTCGCCTTTTTCTCCAGTTCACCATCGATGCCGGTGAGTGCCAGTGAAGGAACGATCTGGAGCTGGTGGAGGTCCGCAGCACTGTTCTTGCTCGCGCCCAGTTCGTAGAAGGTGAAGAAGGAATCTGCCGATTTCAACGCACAACCCCCCACAGCGGGCTCTCGCTTCGCGTCCGTCGAGTCCGTACCAACTAAGAGCATTTTCGAGACGTTTGGCGAGAAGTTGTTGAGCCGCTTGTCGACACCACGGAGGTCCATGACGCATCGCACGCAAACTTTCGTCGGGCGAGTAGCACCCGAACCCTTAAATTTGCATTTGCGAGCATCGTCGTCGGTGTTCGCTGCAGGCACAGACCGAGTAACGTAGCAGGTCTTGCAGATGACGTCGCCGCACATTCGACAGTGCTGTCGGCGACGATGCAGCTTGTGGAACTTGCGGCTGCAAACGGTGCAACAAGAGCGACTTTCATCGGGGACCCAGTTCTTCTCGAGCGCGAGCGTCCGCTTTGTGATGTTTTGTGAGTCGATCACGAGCGAGATATCGCAGAGCGCGGCCATCCTGAGTCGATGCTGAGCGTTTGCCACCAGAGCCAACTCGTTGGCATCGGTGGCTCCCATGATGAAAATTTCCGACGTCGCCTCGGGCTCTTCTTGTGAAGGACTGATGAGCATTGTGCGCTTCATTCGCTCACGAGAAATGTTCATACACCCCGAAAGGTCCGGACACTCGGGTACATCCACCGACACCGACGCCACAAAGCCGACCTCTTTGCCGTTGCCGTCGACAGTGTAGCCCACCATCTCCACGAAGCAGGTATCACGCTTCCCCGAGATGAAGTTCTCGGCGAGCCACTTGATGCCAAAGTAGCTGTCCCTCGTCGCGCGAATTGTGCGCAGCACCGCACCGGAGTGTCGTAGCCAAAGGCGAAGTTGAACTGCATGGGTCGGCTCCTCGAAGCGTGAAGGTCTTGAGCTGGCCCAATGAGCCGACGAAGCGCCAGTCCGAGTCCAACTCGTTATCTTTTTCAGCTTGTGCCGAGCGGGCCAGTATAGCGTCCTGCACTTGCTGATTCATCATGGCCTCGAGCTTCTCGACTTGGTACGCCGATAGCGCTACCGGTACGAACGCCGCGGAACTCGACGACATTGAGGAAAGAGACTTATTTCGTGGTCGAAGGTTTGGAAATGAGCTGAGGCAACGCCCATGGTACGTGAGTCCGGAGTCCTGTGTTGCGCGAATTAATGTTGTGCCTTCTGCGACAGCAGCATGTCGCTCGGTAAGTTAGAGGCAAGCTGCGCTTCCTGCCGTAAAATTGCAAGTCACATGGCGCCAAGTGGTTTTATGTTGAAGTGAAAGCTTCACGTGTGCTCGCAAGCTAATGGTCCACGTTACCACACGACCCTCGACCACCACCCAAAACAAAAACTTGTGGTGCATATTGCAGTGCAACATTGTGTCTGTAGACGAATGGACCACTGGAAATGGACCGACCATTCAGGGGACATAGTCACCTGTGGCTAAGCACTACAGCATCAATTAAGCTAAAGCCACATGGACACCGCACCAATGTTACTAAAAACAAAAATATGTAAAGCTTTATTGAAGCGACCTCTGTCCTGCGTCTATCTACCGTCCCTGGGACTCCAACAGCTCGTACGTGGCCATGATGCTCTCGGGCGTGATCAATCGGAACTGCTCGTTGAGTTTCAGCAGCGCCTGCGAGACGCGCGCGATCTTGCGGCGGTCCTCCACGCTCATGGGCGTGGACGCGTGCAGCTGCCTCTTGGCCGTGAGCACCTCCACGCGGGTCTCCATGCTGCTGCTCGTGTCCTCTGCGTCGTCGCCTCCGAGCGCGGCCATGCTGCGCGACACCCATATGTACCCGTTGGTGCCCAGGATCACGTCGATCCCGAGACCCGGGAGCGTGACCATGTGCTGCTTCATGCGCTTGACCAGCGGGGCCGCCACGGCCACGAACTGGCCGTTCTCGAGCTTGCCGTAGCGCAGACTGCGCGTGTGCAGGCTCAGCGAGCCGTCGTAGCGGACCTCCTGGATCTCGGTCGAGATGAGGTCGTTCTCCACGAAGAAGGCCCGCATCTGCAGCTGGTCGGCGTACGTGCGCCGGCGCTGGGCCCCGCCGGGCAGCGTCACGGAGCTGAGCATGAGGCTGGCGTCCTGCTGGCCGTTCACGTCCACCTTCCAGCGCTTGTTGGCCACGTCGGTCACGCGGCCCACCACGATGTCACCCACCTCGCCGATGTAGCGGGACACGAGCGGCCGCACCGTGATGAGCTGGTTCACCTTCTCCACGACGCCGGCCACGCTGGCCACCAGCTCGTTGCGGCCGCTCAGGTACGTGCCGTGGCCGCGCAGGAACGCGCCCGTGTCGGTGCTGATCACCTGGCCGGGCGTCACCACCACGATCTGCGACTCGTCTGGCAGCTCCTGCGGCTCGTCCTCCTTCGGGCCCTCCAGGCCACGCACGCGCACCTCCATGACCATTCTGCTCCAGCAATTAATTGTGGCTTTTGGCTGAGACTTTTGCGGAGCTAGTACCGTGGACCCTCGCATTATGCATACAAAGAGGTATAACAGTTTGAGAGGATAACGGTACTTCATTTTGAAGTGCTGCACACAGTCGTGGCTACAACCGCGCAACGCCTGACGCGTCCACCCTTGCCATTAGCTCTCTTGCTGCGCGTAAGGTGTCGACAATGGCGCTGTTCCCGCCCGAGTTCCTGGCCGGCATGCTGCTGGCCTTTGTGCAGCTGCGCCTGCGCTCGCACTTCAGCCTGGCGTCGTGGCTGGTGAATGGCCTGACCTTCTTCCTGCCGCCCGAGGACGAGCTCATCGCGACGCTCAACGGCCAGCCGGCCGCGGCCAAGGGCTCCAAGGCGGCCAAGGCGCAGGCCGGTCAGCCGCTTAGCGCGGCCGAGAAGATGGACAAGTTCTACGTGCGTGTAGCCAAGACGGAGCCCGGCGTCTTCAGCCAGACGCTCTTCTTCGAGCTCTACGAGATGCTCGTGGTGCTCGTGTCCTCAGCCTCGCTGGGCTGCTGCTTCGGCAGCCTCGTGGCCTACACGGCGCCGTGGTTCGGCCCGGCCGGCGACAACGCGGCCGACGACAAGGTGGACGTGGCCACGTACGGCCTCATGTCGGCCATGCTCGTGGCGCTCTGGTTCCCGCTGCAGCTCAACTTCGCCCAGGGCTGGTCGGGCTACGAGGCCCGGCTGGGTCTGTCCGTGGGCTTCATCGGCGTCATCGTTTCCGGTTTCTTCATCCTTTCGCCCAAGGGAATGCTGGACTTTGACCTGGAGCTGGCGGCGCAACTCGCCGGCGAACGTGTGGCCATGGTGCTTCGGGCCGTGGGCTTCACGGACGCGGACTTCGTGAACGTTGCGCCGCTGGCCGAAATGGCCAGGGTCACGCTGTTCGTCACGTTCGCGGTGTTTGCTGGTATCTTCACGTGCACGACGTTCCTGCCGTCGTTCCGCTTTGCGCGCATGTACTCGGAGCTGATCAAGGACAAGCAGACGTCGGTTGTGATGAAGGTGCTGCTGCACCTGAACATGTTCTTCCCGGTCCTGATTTGCGCGCTGTGGGTGCCGCGCCTTTCGAGCAACGTGCTGGTGCCTGCCGAGCTGGTTAAGTGTTCTCCGCGCGCGCTGACGCGTGACTGCCTGCAGAGCGAGGTACTGGGTCTCACTAGCGAATCCTCGTCGGATGTCTGGAAATGGTACAGCCTCACGGAGTCTCAGTTCCACACGCTTCGTATCTACGTAGTGTTTGTGGCTTGCCTGGTTCGTCTTGTGTGCTTCCGTACGCACCTGCAGCACTTCCTGCTAGAGCCTCGTGAGGTGATGGCGTCTCTTGTGGGTCGCCCGGGCTTCGTGGACGGCGCGCTGCTGCAGAGCAAGGTCCGCCTCCAGTTCAACTACGTGCCGATCATCGCGCTGCAGTACCTTGCGCCGGTGTGCGCATTACTCGCTGCTGCTCAGCTGTTGATGAAGCAAACGGCCACGCCTCTGGGTATCTTCAAGGGCGTCTCATGGGTGCTGCAGCGCGTGGCGCCGAACGTCTCGATTCCTGCCACCCTGACTTCCGAAGGATTGAACGCGGTCTCTTTGAACGTGCTGCCTGACCCGACGGCCCCGCCCAACCTCGGCGGCTTTAGACTGGGCGACGACCTGACCAAGGAGAACGTGACGCCGTTCCTGCGCGGCATGGGCCAGTTCCCGATTCTGACGGCGGAGTTTTACGAGTCGGCGCTGGGCTTCTTCATCTGGTTCCTCAGCTTCACCTTGTTCGCTGTGAGTCTGGCGGGTCTCCTCTACTGGCGCAATGTGGCGGCTCACGGCAGCGCCGAGGTCGAGCAAACCGCCGCTGTGCGACAGAACAAGCAGACCCCCAAGACGCTCAAGAACCAACTCAAGAGCCTCAAGCTCAAGAAGAACAAGTAGATAGAAAATGCAACTGGCTTAGATTGCCAAACACACTCACTGAAAATACAGCAAACCCCTCTTGTTCACGCTTAGGGTCTAGAGCTGTAGCTATTTATCTAGTGCTTCTTCATGTTCTGGAGGTACTCCTTCCAGCCGCTGGTGGCCATCTTCTCGATCTTGTCGTCCACCTCGCGCTTCTGGGTGTCCAGGAAAGTCGCCATAGCCTCGATGAGCGACGAGTCTCCGGCGCCGAGGATGCGAACGGCCAACAGACCGGCGTTGGTGGAGTTGCCAATAGCAACAGTGGCGACAGGCACACCCCGCGGCATCTGCACGATGCTGAGCAGCGAGTCCTCACCATTGAGCGTCGAGGTCTTGACGGGGACGCCCACAACAGGGAGGGGCGTCAGAGCAGCGATCATGCCAGGAAGGTGGGCAGCGCCACCGGCGCCAGCGATGATCACCTTGAGTCCACGCTTGGCAGCACTCTGAGCGTACTCGTACATACGCGCCGGCGTGCGGTGGGCCGACACAATAGTCAACTCGTAGGGCACACCGAACTTCTCAAGCATGTCGGCGGCAGCGGCCATCGTCGGGAGGTCCGAGTCCGAGCCCATAACAATGCCGACAAGCGGCTGTCGCTCCAGCTTCAGCAGGCCCGAGTTCTTGGCAGCCTCCGGCGACAGAGCGGTGGCGCGCTTGGTCAGCTCCTCAAGGTTGGGCGCCGTGATGGTCACGTGGCCAAGCTTACGACCCGGACGCACACCAGCCTTGCCGTAGAAGTGAGCAGCGGCGCCGGGGATGCTCAAACTGTTGCGCAGCAGCGAGAAGCTGACGTCCTCAGACGACGAGGCGTCGCCGAGCACATTCACCATCAGCGCTGCGGGCACACGCAGCGCACAGCTGCCGAGCGGCAGGCCGGCAATAGCACGGAGGTGCTGCTCGAACTGGCTGGTCTCGCAGGCCTCGATCGTGTAGTGGCCCGAGTTGTGCGGGCGCGGGGCGATCTCGTTGAGCAGCACTTCACCGGTCGCAGTCAGGAACAGCTCCACGCCGTAGATGCCGCGGCCCTCGAGCTGCGCCACCGCAGCCTGAGCCATCTCACCGGCGCGCTTGGCCACATCCTCCGGGATCTGGGCGGGGGCCAGCACGGTGTCACAAATGCTGTCGCGCTGGGTGGTCTCCACCACGGGGTAGGCCCGGACGTCACCGTCGGCGCCCTTGACCACCATCACGGCCAGCTCCTTGACGAAGGGCACCCACTTCTCGGCGTATAGCTTGGCCTCCTCCTCGGCCAGCTGCTTCTCGTCCACGGCCGCGCCCTCCTGGACCAGCAGCTTGGCCCCAAGCTTCTCGAAGGCCTCCACCAGGTCCTTCTCGCTCTTGACCACGGCGTTGCCCCGGCCGTCGTACGCGAAGCGGCGCGACTTGAGCATGTACGGGTAGCCGAAGCTCTCGCCCACCTGGCGGGCGGCCTGCAGCGACGTGACGATCTCGAACGGGGCCACGTCCACGCCGGCCACCTGCGTGAAGAACTGCTTCTGCTGGTACTTGTCCTGGATGAGCGCGATGGTGGCCGGGGCCGGGTGCACGCCCTGCAGGCCGGCCTCCTTGTTGTCCTGCAACTGCTGCAGGAAGGCCGCGTTCACGTGCTCGATCTCCACCGTCAGCACGTCGCACTGCTCGGCCAGCTTGGCGATGTCCTCCTCCTTGGTGAAGCTGCCGGCCACGGCCTTGAGGCCCATCTGGCCAGCGGGCGACTCGGCACCCAGCGGGTCCAGCACCAGCACCTGCAGGCCGAGGCGATGCGCCGCGTCGGCCATCATGCGGCCCAGCTGGCCGCCGCCCAGCACGCCCACCACGGGCGGCGCGGCTCCGCTAGCGTTCGTCGTCAGCACCGGCATGTTACAGGCAGGGAGTGGCAGGCACGGCGCGGCGTGTTTGGCGGGGGGCCACTTTCGAGGTGGCCCGCTAGGTTCGAGGCGGCCTCCTCGACGCCTAGTCTAGGTTTTTTCATGACTTTCCGTCATTTCAAGCCCAAAACGTGACGGAAAGTCGTGAAAATCCTAGTTTAAGAAGCTGCAAAGCCGCCTAAACTAGGTGACTGGTTTTGCCGTGTTCGACGTGCCGTACAATTAAGTACGATACGTACTTAAGCGATATCTGGCGGACTTTTGCCAAATGCTGGCACTATTGCAATAATCTAGTCAAATTATGATTACCTTCGACAAATGCTGGCACTCGCTGACAAAATTATCAGAAACACCTTGGAAAAAACTGACAGTTTATGACAGCGTCGCTGCGCTGTCGTTATGGGGCGACATTTCCGGTTCATTCACGTTCAACACGCTGCACTATCTAGCTCATGGACAAGTTGCTACGAAACGGAAAGCGCGTCGCTGGCCCGCCTGCTCCCGTTCAAGCAGGAAGGTCGGTCGGCCCAAGACGAACGCCCCTCGAACTTGCCGCTACTGTCCGCCGACAAATGGCAACATGCGTCCCAGCACGCGGCCAGTGACATCGGGCACTGGTTGGAACGCACCACTGATGAGAGTTCTTCGGAGCTCGTGGCCGTCACACTTTAGGGGTGCCGGGATCGCCACTAAGGCGCCTGCTACAATGAGACGATCGTCGACAAGGTCGTAGGATGTCATTAGCCAAAGAGGTGAACAGACAACAATGTACCTCAATGCGAAACGAAACGAACTTGCCGCTACTGCAAGAGCTACGCAACCATTTATTTGGCTCACGAGAACCGCTGCGATAAACGGTCGGTCGCGGCTCGTGCTGAGGCACGTAAAATCGATCGCCGCCTAGCCAGCAAAGCGTACTTCATCCGCAAAAAGGATAGGATCTCGCTCAGCGAGTGGCGCGAACGTATGCCACTAAGTCATCTGCAAACTGCGCGCCGTGCTGCCTGGTTTGAAGCCAACCGCTAACTGGGTTAAGGATGATCTACTGAGAAGATTAAGTTCTTCTTATACACGCACGTGAGCCGGACTTACTAGTTCTCGTTATTAGCTTTCGGCTGCTTTCTCTACGGCTTCTCTACTGCTCGTCTATCGTCCTCTGTCCCTCTTGGTCTTGTTATCCTCTATCCTGGTGTCCATTGCATCACGAACTTGTAGCCATGTACTATCGCTTTAAGGTAATATTTAAAACATTATTGTTGATAAAATTATTAACTTGACGGTATTGCGGTATTTACTAATCGTTTTTGGATAGAATATGATCGTTTCTGGCACATTATTATCAAAACCTGACCATATATCATCGATTTTGGATGGATAATCATCGCTTCCTGATAAAATATTGTACTTCATCAAGAAAATTTACCAGAGCGAAATTTTGAAGTGAACCAAGTTTTATTAAGGGAACTCGAGCAGTCATTAAACTAATGCCTGCCAGACTGAGCTTCGGTTCATATTGAATATATAATGTGTTTATTTTTTGGGGTTATTCGGTGTATATGTCCAAATTTGACGCCTGCAACTTGATTTTATAGAATTGCTATACTGATTTCAATGCCGTTTAGGTCTCCTCACTTCAAAGTCGACTCTCAACAAACAGTCTGCACCCACGACCATTAATCAATAGCGATAATTTTGTTTTACTCAACGACGGTTTATAGTTGCTGCTGCTGTGGCGTCCGACATGTACATACAGATATCGTATCTTAGAAATGACAGCCACATGCCTAAACTAACTTAGCCGATACGACGGCGACCTACCTATTGCTCGCTTGCTGCCCCGATTCGGTCGATTCCTCACAAATTGCATTGACTGACAGATCACCCCTCTTTTATTATTGCTGCTGCCTGGTTAGCTTGTCGCCGAAAGCATGCTTTGAGCTGTAATAATGAATCGGAGTTTGCGCTGCTGTGCTGTAATACAATTGCTGTACAACTGTCAATACAATTGCTGTACAACTGTCATTGCTGTTCTCTGGATTTTATCCAGAGTCCATGGGTGGATGCCACTGAGGTGCCATTATTCTTGCATCAAATACCTGACCAATATGATATTTAGTGCTGCTCACATATGCAGTCGAGATTCCAGTTATATTAAATAACCTGCTCCCTAATCAATTTATGCTGCTAAGTTGACCCATCCGGTTAAGATTAAGACAAATTACCTATTACATTTGATACTCCCTAATCAATTATATATACCTGCGACATCTAATTTATCTACCGCTCAAGCAACGTCCATCCGATTTTTTTCGCTCGGTCAACATGCTGACGGGATCCCGCCTTGAAGTGTTCCAGTGGTGATGATTTCGGCATCGCTTTACACTATAACAACGACGATGTCGATCCCACCGTGTGCTGTACACGCAATAATAAGAGCTCATTCCTACAATTACGTCGCAACGTCTGCTTTGATGAGCGAGTTCATTGACCCCCAGAGTTGTTGTGGTTAATGGAAGCCGTAATCGAGTTTTCGTATCGAGCTGCCGTAGCGGCTGGCGCCACATCCTTTTTTGGCGAGAACCCGTAGGGTATCAACACTCGTTCATGGCTGAAGAGATCGGGGGGGGGGGCTAAAGGAGCTGCGAATGCATGCATATCCAGGAACACAAATTGAAATACGCCCACTTCCCAAAAAGCTATCATGAACTAGCCAGGAATGCCATACTTTCGCTCTATATCTAATTTTCCTCGTGAAATTGATGCGGCGACAGTACATGTACATCAGGCAGCCGAAAAAAATTGGGGGCGCCAAAAATAGCCAACTAGAGAATTGGGCTGGATGTGCGCCTGAAAACGGTATGCAAGTCCGTTGAAGCAAACCAAAATCGCTCGGCTACAAACCTACCAATTAAGACATTAGTTCTCTAGACAAACTGTACCAACCTACAGGATTATCCGAAAAACGTGGGGGCCAAGACGCAAGCAGCCTAAAGGTTAGCCGCGCCACTCGGAGTGGGACAGCCCCTGCAGCTTGTCAGCATAAAGGCCGCATCGATCATGGCGTAGATTCTAGCGCGATCTCCTGTGCTTCAATCGTAAGAAGTGACCGTGTATTCCTAACAAATTCATTATCCGTGTAATCCTAAGGAAAGTTGTATGAAAACGTAGAGAAAATGATGAGTGAAGCGATCTCTTCGTATCAGCGCAACATACATGGTCCGCGCAATTAGATAGCACCACTGCATCACGAAAACCATCTGCATACAAACTAGAAAAGCGGGGTTCTAGGTGCCTCCTATTAGTAAAATTCTTCCTTGGCCGGCTGGGCTGTCCAAACTGAAGCTCTACTCCTGAACCTGGCATCTGTCCAAGTAAGTGTAGCGAGCGTTTAAGGTCTGATGACCGCGCGGAGTGCGTAGCATAGTGGTAGTTTAAATCAGTATAACTCATGACTACAAATCTACTACTAAGTACTTGCATAGCTTTTTACAAAAGCTACCAAGCTGGAGTAATTCCTCCTTATATGCCCAAGAGCAACGTAAAATCCAGAGCTGTTCCGGCAGAGCACGGCTTTGTTGTGCTCTTTAACCGATAATGCAACATAAAACCTTATGTTGCATTATCTCAAACACCCGCAGGGGCGCAAACGACAGTTCTTACAAACTGCGGATTGTAGCGTGACGGCAAATCTCAATCAATTTTTCAATGTAAATTGACGCAACGCTGCAATCAGCATGTTTGCATAAGAACCAAAATAAAGGCAACCCCTTGATAAACACAAGGAGCAGCGTGGCTCTGATTGGGGGCTAGGTCCTGCTGCGAGCCAAGGGCATTTGCAAGTGCATCTTGTGTTGGCACAGCGCGAACTCCAAGGTGACAGGCAATCACATTCTACCGATTACGATATGATTCTCAGATGTGTCAAGAAGGCTTTCGGCAAACTAATTGATCGGTGCGTAGTCCCAGCTTCTATAGCGCGGCGCGAAGTATCTAAAGCTCTGGAGCAATTTCACGCTGATGGATTCGACTCGCTTGTATGCATTATGCTGGACCAAGCCTTGCAAGGAGGATTCTGGCGATAGCAGCTCCGCAGTTCTTCTGGCGGTGTAAAGAGGACGAAAAGCGCCGGTTTGTTGCCATTGCTGGTGAAGAGCGCCATATTGTGCTATACCGATTTCAAGGAAGAAAACTCTCGTGTCACCTATCAGGAATGTGCCCAGGGTGGCGGCACAGATGCTCTTTCAAAAGCTAACGAGCCTCAAGGTGCGTACATGCTGTGTTTAAAGCCGCGAAGGGGTGAGAAGACCGCTCTATCCAAGTAGCATCGGCGTATCAGTTCATAAGTTAAATTTGTTTTTGGTGGTTAATGTGCTTAATCATTCGAGTTGTAGGGTAACATGTAGATTGATGGCTACAGCTCTTTCCCAGTGCCTGCGATTGATGCCTGCATCCTATCAGTTGAGAATTGGCGCAGTAATGAAGTCGAGTCGATGCATCCACGCTGCTGCTCAGTTCGTGTGTCAGCATTGGTACCCAGCGAAAGGAGGCTGCCTTGTGCAATTTGTACTTGTAGATTTCATCGACGCGTTTTTGGGTCCACTTTCCCCACAGAAAGCTTTTACCGGCGCGTGTCGAGCAGGAACACTGGAGTCCACACTAGAGTATTTACTGTCTTGCGCTACACCCATTTGGAAGGAGGCCCTGTATGCTACTGCTCAAGGTGGACACCTTCATGTTCTGCGCTGGATGGGGGATCGTCCGGACCGGCGCGGTCCATGGAGGTCGGATTTTGATAATTTACTGGGAGTTGCTGCATCTCATGGGCATTTAAAGCTGGTCAAGTGGTTATTCGAGCGAGGTCTCGACCTAAACACTACGCGGAAGCTAAGCAAGTCAACGCGAGGGTACTATGCCAAGGCTTGGTCGTGTCGACATGATCTGTGTGAAGGTTTACAACTCGCAGCTGGAAACGGTCACTTAGCTGTCGTACAGTGGCTCCACAGCGTGAGACGGGAGGTATTTGCTGGTGGACCTATGGAGTCGATAATGGACTATGCTGTTGCTGGGGGGCATCTCGCGGTGGCACAATGGCTGTTTGAGAATGGCGATATTTGTTCAACGAATGCTGCGAACATTGCCGCAGAGGAGGGACACTTGGAAATCTTGCAATGATTACACAAGAAGCGTATCTGCTATTGTACGTCTCGTGCGGTCGATAACGCAGCTGAGAAGGGACATCTTCCTGTGCTCAAGTGGCTGCAAAATACGGTTGTTGGGGGGTGCAGATCAGCTAAATTGTATCTTCCGATTCAGAATGGCCACTTCGAAGTAGCCCAGTGGCTGTATGCCAACGTTCCGAGCGACGTTCATCGAGAAATGGGGGATTCATCAGCAATCGCAGCCAGATACGGATATTTGGAGATCCTAAAGTGGCTGCACCAGGAATACCCACACATTTTCTCTGGGCATGAGATGAACGTGGCCGCTACAAATGGCCACCTTAATGTTATCAAGTGGCTACACGACAACCGAAGCGAAGCGTGTACATGCCTCGCTCCCTGGCGTGCCGCACGCATCGGCCACTTGGAAATGGTGCAATGGCTGCATGAGCATTATCCTGACCGATTTCGGTCGGATGTGATGAATGCAGCGGCGGAAAAAGGTCATCTCGATGTCGTTCAATGGCTCCATGAAAATCGATCCGAAGGGTGCACGGGCCAAGCGATGGAAATGGCCGCTTATAGAGGACACCTTAATGTGGTGCTCTGGCTGCTCACGCACCGCACTGAGGGATTTCCCTCCTCGGCAATTGAAATACGTCGAAATTTTGAGGTTCTGGATTTATTTCGACATCAATTTTCTACTACAAGCTTGACGAAGGACCCATTCGAGGGTAGCGAACTGAGGGAGCTGTACTACGTTCACCTGCGTTTGTTCGGGGTTGTCTCCGGTGTTTGGCTGAAGTCGCAGTTGAACAAGGTCACATACCCATTTTGGAATGGCTAAACCAATTCGAGATAAAGCTCCTGACAACAGCTCCTATTCGCCGAGCTGTAAGTAGAGGCGACCTCAATGTGGTAAAATGGCTGCACCAGAACTATGGCACGCTGTTTGAGCAGGACTTATTACAGCTAGCAGTCCAAAATGGGCAACTCGCTGGCTTCGGGAGCACGGATACGAGTTAAGCGGGCCACAATTGGTCCTACAGGCGTCGGAAAACGGCAATATGAGCTTACTGCGGTGGCTCCTCGATAATGGAGCCACTATTGATCTGTCTACTGCGACAAAAGTAACTATGAATCCTGACTACATGGAGGTCATGTGGTGGGATTCTGAGTCAGTTCGTGTGCAACTGGTACTGGAGGCGATCCGCAACGAGAGTCATAGTTTGGTGTGGTGGCTGCTGATGCGCACCAGGTTTGAAGAAAAACTCTCGCAGAGTGCAATCTCCGGCGCTGTTGACGAAGCGCACGCGAGCATGAAGGCGTGGGTGTTGGAACATATCGAAGACGATGTCTGCCGATGGTGTTTTCCTAGGAAGAGAGTTGCCACGACGAGCGATGACAATGCTTTAGCAAAACGGGCGCGCGAAAAATGATCTAGCTAGCCGTAATAAATCATGCGTATATTGCAGTGTTTGTAGTGGAAATTGAAGTTACTCGCTACTGCTAGTACTTTAACTCAATGTTCTGGTCGTCATTATCACTACCAATGACCACTAGAGCCTCCGCTGAGCATCTCTACCCGGGCGGAGTACATTGTGAGGGAATAATTATAAACACAGCTCCTCAGCTCGAAACACTGATTAATTTGGGCGCTCCAGTCAAAACCAGTGATGAACCGGTAACATGTTTCAGGTCAATTTTTTCGCTTGACCAAGTGTTCTCGACTTCTCAAGAAATATGGAGGCTGGTCCAGTACTTTGCATAAAAAAGTGTATTATTGGTTTTGCTTTATAATCGATTGTACGTCGTGGTAGTGCATTCTTGGGCACTTTGCGTGCAATAGCTGGCAGGCCGTAGTGAATAGCAGGCCGATAATCACTACGCCATCCGGGAATTGCACTATCGATTTCAACGTGTTACTTCAGCACTACTTCTGAACCCCTATCACTTCCCCTTTGGGGATGATTTTTTTTGCAATTTTGCAAATATTTGGTGCAATTCCTTGGGTTTTGCACTACCGTTGGAGATGCTCTAAGCGAGCTCACCTCGCTGAGCGAGGCTCGCTCACCATCCCACGACACACAAATGATTTTCAAATCACTGGACTTTTCTATATCCAGTCTTTTAGCTTGGCCCTCCTCCGAATTATTAATATCGTCCTCTAAATAAGAGGAGACAGCCCGATTAAGAAGCCCGATTAGCCCCTCTAACCCCGTATTATGTATCCTACAGAATAAGCATTGTCACAGGACATAATATCCAGCAAACTTGTCCTCTCTTTCGAACTTTGCATATGGATGTTTGTATAGCCGGTATTGTGCACATCTTCCTGTTAGATTAGCGATGGGAAGATAAACGGGGTTTATTCCGCGGTAAAAGACGGACGAGTATAAACCACCAACAGGATTGAAAATTCGGGTGGAAGCCTAAAACCGCCGCGTGTCAGCCACTCGTACTTTCCTTAATTCCGAAACTGCGCTGTTCAAGACTTCGTAATGCAAGCTTTGTTGGGGCCCGTCGAGCGCGCCCAAGTGGCCAAGGACCATGGCCGAAGACGATCATGATGAGCGCCATTGTGATCTACAGGTAAGCGAGAGCGTGTACTTTGCTCTGTAATATTGTACTAGTGGTATATTGAATCTACGTTGCGATGTTGATTACCAGACCTGGTGATCCGACCCAGACGACGCTATGAGCTCTCGCGTGTGGCCCGATTGGCAGATCGATTGCGGAGTCAGCGCACAACCTCATCGGTTCCTACGAAGCCGGCTACAGCCGGGTCTACCGCTATATTGTAGCTGATGCAGTGGCTACTCAAGAGGCTACAGAAGAAGCGCCCCTCATGGTGTGGCTACACCGGAGACTACATAAGAAGCGGTAGATGCTACGACAGATGCTACAGAAGATGCTCTCCGCGTGATGAGGTTACACCGGAGATTACAGAAGAAGGGACAGAGGCTACCGATGAAAGCGGCAGGAATGGAGCGGCAGTGCCGGAGGCTACAGAGCAAAGCGGAGGCTGCCAAAATGGCGAAGATGACCCACGGCTGGCGCGAACATTGAAGAGCGTGCACATGTAAAGGAAGAAGTAGACGTTGGCATGAATATCATATATTGTCCTGTTTCGTACAAGAGGAACCGTGTGTAGTGCGTGTCATTACGGGCTATTGAGCATGCAAGCTCCCTGGTGTTGTTAGAGAGACAATCGTAACAAGCTTGTTAGGTGGGTTAAAGAAATCTAATGATGCGTTAATGTCAAGCACAAGGAAGAATTCGCCCAGTTCCTCCTCACTACGTCAGTTAGGAACAGGGCGATTTCTTCCTCTGCGTTTATCGCGACGTGCCGAAGATGGGTGGCTGGAGCCGAAGTATGCTGCCTTAGCAGCCTTGCAAGGTATTACCATGTAGCAGGTTTTGAGCGTGCTCTACGCTCGCCACGACCAATAGAAGCTCGCCATTTCGGCATATGGTGGATACATTGAGCATGTTTTGTTCACTTTCGTAGCTGTTCTGTGCACAATGTACCCAGCGCTTGACCGCATATGCGAAAGGGCCTCCAACAGCAAATCTTTGACAGGTTTTGAAGTATACTTTAATCAAGTCTAATGCTTATTCTGTAGGATACAGAATAAGGTCTGGGGCTAGAAGGGTTAGGCGGACAAATGACAGAAAGGCACAATATATATGTGCAATCCACACGATCCAGGGGCATCTCCTGCGCCAGAATCGGACTTTTGCCAAATGCTGGCACTATTGCAATAATCTAGTCAAATTATGATTACCTTCGACAAATGCTGGCACTGGCTGACAAAATTATCAGAAACACCTAATAAAAGTCTATCATTTGCAACGGATGCATCAGGTCTGAGCAGGTATTATTAGACGCATGCACTCTTAGCGCTCGCACTCGCTTCACTTACAAAGTAGACATTGTGGCGCAAAATAAACGAAGATGTCGAGAGAGGACCCCGCGGAAAAGCTGGTATTGCCGCAGGAATCACGTTTGGGTTACAATTACACTGTTGTGGTCTGCGAGATTATGCCTCCCTCTGGTGTCTGAGTTAGTCTTGGCGCCATCTTGAAGCTGTGCAGTATGTACCATGAATAACAGTAACGCTAGTGTGAGTTCATGCAATGAAATCAAAATTTGCGGTTATGACGGCTGACTACGCCCCTGCTGCAGCGCCGCATACGGGGACTCCCGCAGTAGCAGTCCAATAGTGTGAGTTCACGTAGATCCGCCACGGCAGATTGAGCAGCGTAAGCCATCCAGCAAATGGACGCATGAACCAGGGAAGCTAAGGAAATGAGTTGTAAATTTGCAGCATGGACGGCCAGTTTAGGCTTAGTATCCACTTTCAAGCTGCGGCATCCAGTTACACCAAGATATACCTACGCCCGTCGCAACATCAAAACAGCCCTCGACGACATTTACATCTCAGCCGAGCATGAATCTGCTGTCGCACGTAGTGGAATCTGGCTCCACAGTATTACTTCGAGTGATCATGTGGGGACTCCTTTTGTTATTCTGCGATGTGAGCGCGGTGCCCAAATTGCAGCTCCGATTCAAAACATCACCCCGATCAATGTCGTTAACACAAGAACCAAGACACCTTAGGATTTCACCATGAATACCAGTCGGTTGCTGTGTGAAGGAAAGCTTCAACTGATTGAGGACATCGACCCAGAAAGAAGTTCTATAGAAGAGATTCAAACTTGGCTCGAAAACGCAATCGAGAACCTACATCAATGCCTTTACAAGAGCGCTAAAGATCTATGGGGAGTGACCAACCAGTCTCGTAGGAAACTCGCACGAGGCGTGTGCATCAAACGCAGCAATCGCTGTACTGCACAGCTACGTCAGCTCGATCGACTTGTCCAGTTGCCTGGCGTACAGGTTCACGAGTTAGACCAGCCATGGAACGGAATATTGTGGCCGAAGTGGGTTTAGCATCCAGACCGACTAGTACGTGGATGTGCTCATGAGAAAGGAGCAAGAGAACTAATTGCGTTAATATCGCACAAGCCGCAAACCACTACTACTGAGGAGTGGATGGCATGGGTACACACCATTCACAAACGCTGGAAAGCCATTATGAGATCACGTAGGAATTGGCGGGATACCCAGAGGCGAGAACGTATTCGGCGTCAGCGTCAATATTGGTTTGCAGAGGGAGGCCTCAAGCGATTTCTCAGCAGTACTCTTGGTAAGAACGCGCCACCAGTGACGATACGAAGCGCTGTTATCCAAGATGATGGAGGTGCTAGGTACAATGAACAACGCGAGGAGGTGCAGGCGGAATTGATTAAACTACTGGACAATTGGATACCTCCCGGTAAAAAACTGATCCACCACCTTATCTTACTACACTTTCAGCTGAGGACGCTAGTACTTTACCAGAGTTTGCGCGTGAGTGGATCCTTCCCGATATCGAGCGCGGAGGTCGATTCGCAAATTATTGGCGTGAAGCAGGGAATTCCTGGGAGGAATATGTGTATACACCTGAGATGCAGACAGACATCGATCGCCAATTGAAAAAGCACGTCGCACCCGGATATGGCGGAATCTCTCAAGAAATGTGGATAGCGGCTCCGGAAACAATTCGAGCAAGAGAGCGCAAGATTATTGATTTAATCCTCAAGTCTGGAAGAGCACCAGCGATTCTCCGACGGAAGCAGATGGTATTTCTACCCAAAGCAGCACATGTAGACCCAACATTGGATAATGCAAAAGGCCTACCGCCGCGGCGACCTATTACAGTTCAATCCGCGCTCGCCCGCCGGCTTTTCTTGGTTCTTAAACGATATGTGGAGCCCGGAATCCTAATCAGTCGAATGCAGCACGGTTTTCAGACTGACCGGACCGTTATCGATGCTGCGTTGCTAGTCACACTTCTGACTGAGCGCTCCAAGGCACTCCGAGAGCAGTTAATTATGGTATCCAAGGATTGCCTCAAGTGCTTTGATCGCATCCCCAAGTGGTGCATGGATCTGATTTACAGAGGAATTGGTGTACCAAATACACCGAGGGAGCTTATGATTGATCTTCTAGGCGCCGGAGAAATAGATGTTCGTACGGCATTTGGTTGGATTTCCACTGGTGCGCGAGAATTTGGTATTGGGCAAGGGTCTATCTTGTCGATCCTCCATATAGCCTGCTACATGGATTGTCTACAGAATCAACTCGAGAAGTGCCCCGATCCGGTTCACATCACCCATCACCATGAGGGGAGCGGCATCGATATTAGCAGCACATTGTTCGTTGACGATCAGCTAGACGTAACAACCTCGCATCGAGGTATTCAGGCACGCAGTGCAGTGACGAATGTTTTCACGGGTAAGATGGGTACGGGAGGCGTGTTCGGTGCAGCCAAGTCCTTTATGATGTACTTAGCCCCCATGAATACGCACTACGATGCGGTGGAGCTCAATGATGGCTACAGCGTACCCCGACCAGTCCCAGTAGTTGCGCCGGACGAAGGCTTTAAACACCTAGGTATTTACCAAGGTGGAGGAAACCTGTGGGAAGCCACTATTTCGCCGGTATGGGTACGATTGACGGACGAAGCAGCGCGACTACAGCGCTTGCAGATATCGCTGGAACAGTTTCGCTATATTGTTAACAGTGTGTGGATTCCACGACTGCGGTATCGGATGGTACTCGGAGGAGCAATATCTGTAGCAGGTATGGTTGATACGTTTATTCGGCATGTTGCTCGAAGCGTACTTCGGCTTCCGTTTTCAACCCCCCGATACGTCTACTATGACAAACTGAATGGGATCGGGCTTGCGAACTGTGAACGTGAGGCGAATGTGCATCGGCTACAGGAAGCCCTGCGAATCTTGAATACTCCGAGCCTGCCTGTGTACCACGTACTGGTATAGAGACTGGAGGCCTATCAGAGCAATGCAGGCCTCACGGAAAATCAATTGAGCGTTCCTATCTCCCCGCCGGCTCATATTCGAACGTGGGAGGCACAAATTATACGGTTCGCATCCAAACTCAAGCCGCCACTTCGCTGTGCAGTTCGATGGACTCCACCACCAGCCACAATGTCTGCACGTGCCAATGATCGACCTCTGCTCACTATTACCCCACCGTCTCTCAGCAAAATCCTCATAGCCGTTAACTGGAATTCAAACTACAAACTACGCTACGTCGGAGACATCTGTGCCGAGCTCGGAACGCGCCTGCTTACAAGACGCCAGCTGGAGGAGAAAGGTCATTGGAGTCGTGCGAAGCAGCTTAAAGTCAACCAGCTCTACGGAAACTGGAAATCGCAGTTAGTGGAGGGCGAGAGCTATAACCTGCTAGAGCCAGTGGGTTGTGAACCAGCCCCTGCCGGTATCAGTCCGTACCAAATGAGAATCGGTGTGGGGGACTGGGTAGTAGCAGTGAACATTCAGATGTCAGGGGGGGAAGCGCGGATTTTGCACCACGAGCTAGGTTACAGGGACATTGGTGACTTGAAAAAGAATATGCTCGGAACGCTAATGCCAATTCGGTGGTGGTATGAACGTCCAAGAGGAAGTGATATCTGGTATCAGCGCACTCATCGCAGACTGGTTGATGAATACGAAGCTGTTTGTGTTCCAGTGACGCCGACGTACTTGCCACGTAGCGCACGGGGAAGTGACAGGATAGTACTATGGACTACGACTGAAGTTGCAGGTGTTCGTGGTGTCAACGACCGTGACATCTTACTCGAGGCAGCAGCGCGTAGTCAGCTACGATACGACGCAACGTTGCTGCGAGGTCGCCCTTTGGAGGAGGCTACAGCATGTACCGAGTGTGGACGGTATCGCGGAGAGAAGTGGTGTTTGAATTGCAGGCGCTGGCACCACCCGCAGTGTCTACGGGGGGAATGTCATAGCCGTCGAATCGCCGAAGACGCGGTGTCTAGTTTTCGTGCCGCCAGTGTACAATATGCCTGGAACGAGGGGGACAGATCGATTACCGTTCAAGTCGGCGACGGAAGTGTGGTAGCGGCAAACACGCCAGCATCACAAGGTGGTTGTGCTCTCCAGGCTCCAGGCGGTCATACCGTGACTGGTCAGTTGAGCATCCACCACAATGATATCACATCTACCCGTTGCGAGATTCACGCCTTATTGGCAGGGATCGTCCTGTATGGTGACAGCGGGGAGCAGATTTGTGATAACAAAAGTGCGATCGCTGTTTTTCAAAAAGCAAGAGCTCTTGCACTGGGGAAAATCCGCCAGCTTAAATATCGAGATGTCCATCGCATTGAAGTTCGTTCACTTTGCCGAGCTATGTGTTCAAGTGGCTCAATGACAGTCTCCTGGGAAGCATCACATAAGGAAAATCAGCTTACGACAGACGTACAAGTCCGCCATCGACGGCAGGCGCTTGCAAGTGTTGATGCGGCAGCCAAAGCGAGTCACATGCAACAAATGCTAGCATCGTACTCAGACTGGATTGACTACGACTCCTACATGATACTTGATGAGAATGGTAAACTTGTTTTCGGCAACACTCTGCTGTACCTACAGACCCGTGCCGCTGAGGATTATCGCCGACGCTGGGTTAGCAAGCAGCAAATGAAACACGAAACTAGGCAAACCCTCGCTCCAGATGAAGTGAGCATGATATACAGTGACAATTGGACGGCTTCATTGCGAAGATTCTACTGGCGGACACGGGGGAATGTTCTCCACACGAACGCGGTGAAGCACCGTTTTGACGACAGGTGGTCCGCTCATTGCGTACGCTGCGCTGAAGTCGGTGATGGTGAGGACCCGCATATAACCACTGATACTCAGGATCATCGTTTTGGACTCGGGCTACCGATGTGTATCGAGGTCACTCAAATGCAAGCCCTTCTCAACTCCCTATATTATGATGTCGACAAAGAGAGCTGGCTTCCGGATCAACATATCTTTCTTCCGGCGATCGGCCACGCTACTGCTGAGGCCGCTGGTACGGGGCAGCGAGAATTATGGGCGCCAAGAGGAACTGATGGGGCGGTCCAGTGGAGGCCCATGGTCAAACTCGCGGAAGGCTTATGGGCTCACGCGCAATGGATGGACTGGCTGGGAAGCCCTAAGCAACTTTGTCGAGACGGGCGATTCGTCGAGGTGGTACAGCATGAGCTGCACCGAAGTGATGTCGCTGGCTGTCTACTACCGGTTTCGCTGCTAGATGTTGTACAGCGATGCCACTCGCATGTTGGCCTGTTCCAGGCACATCTAGCCCAGTGGACCCCGGGATGGGCAGCTGCCACATTCCGACAGGGCATTCGGTACGATGCGTTTCCTGGTCTGGTGTATCTAGCTCCGTCTGGTGATATTTCGAGTTGGTGGATCGACGACGTATACAATCCCAACACGGCTGACTGGTGGAACAGGTTCAAGAATTTGTATGAGAATCAACTGTTAATCGATTCGCCGGTTTACTGGGTAGCGACGTACCGCGGAAGTGAAGGCCACATGCTGCTGGAATCCATAGGCTGCGTTTGGGTGGTAAAAGTACCGTCAGGAGAACTGCGTATGCGAACAGGACACTCCATCCTACAGCAACATCATCATCAACCATTAAGTGCGGTTTTCACACGGAACCCACGAACAATTCTCATCGGGGTGCTGGCGAGAGGAGAACACGCACCCAAGCATGCAAGGCGGACTATTCCACTTTGGGGCCAGGTTCTGGAACAAAGCTTCAAGGTTGAGTGGCTACTACCGGAGTGGACGAATATCGAAGCAGAGAAGTCAACGCTTATACACCCCGTGTTTGATTGGCACGACCTGAATACGGGTGAAACCAGAGTGCCCGCGTGGTGGGCACGGGTTCGCCATCAGCTAGATGATACGTCATAGACCCTGGGACTCGGGGTCTATGACGCTCCTAAAGGGTGGCGCCGTTACCCAACTATGACAAAACGCAGCGAAAAATGGGCTAATGTAGTGTCGTACACAAGTGCACAAGGCAGCAGTTTGCATGCTCGGGTATTCCTCGGCACATGGACAACACTTCAAGAGTATTGGAACTATACCTGTTCGCGGATCGAAGAGGAACCAGCACAGCGAGAGCGACGCACGCTCTTTAATGACATCAACACAGGAATTAAAACGCGACGGGGTAACTGGGCTCGACGTACTCAAGGTATCTTGTCACGTCGACTCCTTCATCGACAAAACCAGCTACGAGAACGGGGTCAACGATGGCATGAACTTGGACAACAAAGGTTGCCAAGAGTGGATCCTGACACTACGCGGTAGTGTGTTGACGCTAGCACTGTTTATTTATGCATATTCTATAGGACTCGACCGATTAGGTCGTTGTGTAGGGGCTTCTACCGTAGGTGCGTGTCTGCACGGGCACGCCATCTATAGGCGGGATTGCAGCTGAGCGCGATCCTGGGAGTAGATAGCCATCTAAACCGCAACAAATTCAAATTCAAAGCAAATGGACGCATGATATTTCACAGTACAAAAATAAGAGCAAGCGCTAAAATTCAAGAACGTCTTCACGCAACTCTCTCCTGCGGCAAGCATAGCGCTATTACTACATAGTACTACTAGTAGTAAATAAAGTTTTCTACTGTGCAGGTTTTGGCATACAGTAAAAAAAAGACCGAACTGCGAACACCGCGGGCCAAAGCCCGCAAACCAGTTTTAATTGTACAATGTAGGCATTGAATTGTATTCTTGTGGTTTGTATAGGGGTCTGTATGGACCATTTGATTGGCTACCCACGCACATACAGTTATCAAGTCAACTGTCTTGTACAATACATTAATCGACCAGGTCCCAAACGCCGCTCCCAATGAGGAGAGCCAATCATAAGTGAGATTCCAAATGACTTCAACACAGTATGGACTGGTTTATCGGCTCCAAAGCCAAGAAAAAACCTTAAGGTTTTATTTTTGGCCGACTGCGCAGCCTTCTCCGCCTTCACACTTTCCGCCCCGCATCTCCAACACGACAGCGCGCTCCGAGCGTGCCGCACGCCTCCCCCGCCGACCACCCCAGACCCGAGTGCCCCCAGGCGCGCCCCACGCGCCCCACGCAAGGACCCGTCGAAAGCAGCTACAAAACCCGGCAGGGCGGGTGTTATGCTGCCGGTTTTGGTAGCTGTCGGCCAAGCACGAGGTCGTGCGCGCTCGCTGACGGTGTGTGAGCGTTTTTCTATTGTGTGTGACTTTGTATCGGGACTGACGGGAATCCATGCGCTGTGCTTAAGTTGTGGGATGGCGATGACGTGTGCATTTGCGCCTTGAATTCGATTATCCATGTTGTATGAATAGGAATGTATTAAGCGTTAATACAAGCTGCGTGATCCTACGACTCCAAGTCTTTTTGCTTCCATTGGTGACTAGCTGGTGTGCAGCGGTCGACGATGCCACCGTTCGCTTTGCGGGTGATAAATGCTGAGCAGAGCGCGTCGTACGCAGAGCGGTGGTCAGCGCGCAGCTTTCTCCAGCGCTTCCGTAGCGACCCCGCGGTTTTGGATCGGCCTTTACCGTCGATACTCCCAAGCGCAGCGTTGACCTTCTTGTCCAAGTCTTCCGCTAGCGTCCAGACACGCTGCTTCCGCGACGCCGTCCCGGTCCAGTGGCGCCGTTGTTACGTCTACCTCTCGCCCTGCTGCTATGATCATGATGTTGACGCCTGCCTTGAGGTCAGAGCGAACAAACTGTTGTTTCTTTTGGGTTGCCGTGTGCCACAGCTCCAGTGTGTACCAGTTGTAGAAGCAGCCAGCAAGAGAGTGCGCTTCAACGACGGTGTCAGTGCTCGCCTGCGGGGCCTGGCCAGCACAGCGACAAGGAGCAGGACCGTCAGCGCTGGTGGCCTTGCTCTCGTGGGCCGCGACGAGCTTCTGAAGTGTGCGCTGCATTGCTGCGATGGACGATAGCATCTGGGTGACGGTTGCGGCAAGTATGGTGGTGTTTCCATTGCTGCGTTCACCCAGCTGTCCGAAGTTCTCCGTTTGCCAAGCCGTGCGAAGCTGCCGACCCCAACCAATGCACGTGTCCAGCGAGAGCCGAGCTCCCAGCGCTACGTTGGCTGCGTCCAGAGCTTCGTGAAAGCAGTACAGGTAATGCGATGTGAAGCCTGTGGCAGCCTGCTCCTGCTGGACTGCCGTCGCGACGTCGTCAAGATGGATGAGCAGGGACGCGAGCGCCTCATCCAGGACTAAGGCGTCAACGTTGAGCGTGGTGTCCGTGAAGCCGCTGACGTTCTTGAAGAGCTGGCCGCGCAGGGTTAGCAGCTGGGCGTACTCGAGCGCAGGAAGAAGCTCGCTCAAGGTGGCAATCGTGGGCGTGACGCATGGCAGGTGCGGGTCTCGGTATCCAGCGAGGACTTTGCCGACACTCTGGTCCTCGCGTGTCGTGGTACCCACGTACGCGAACGCCTTCGTGAGTGAGTCTAGCAGCCAAGCTCCCCGGGTCGAGATCCACTGGATCGCAAGCTGCGGTGAGGCGTTTGTATACGCTGCGGAGCCGCGGCGCAAGGAGTCGCTGCTCAGCCTTGCGGTGAGCGTCGGGGGCAGCGGGGCAGAGGCCTGGGCTTGGCGCTCGCAGACCATGGTGATGACGTCGTTAATATACTTGGACACGTTGGGCCTTCCTCTCACGCGCTTTGTTGGTGGCTCGTTCCTTGGTTCAGCTTTCTCTTCAAGGTTCTCCCAGTAGAGTATAGCTTCGTCTTGGCTGTAGGTCTTCTCCCCTGGCAAATCCGATGCCGCCGCGTGCGGCACTAGCGGGAACACATAGCTGGAGGCTCCGACGCTCCAACGAACAGCATTCCGAGGCCGTGCAGCATACACTGCTCCCAGTGAGTCGCGGCCTTGTAAATTGAGATGCCTTGAACCACCGAAGTCTTGATTCGAGCTAGATGCAGAAAGAGCTCTCCCGATGCCGCCATAGATAGCTGGCTCTTCCTAGCAAAACAGGTATCGATCGCTCGACCAAACGTGTGCCACATTAACGTTAATACAGCAGCGTCATGTAAACTCTTATAACCTGAGCCAACCCCCTTAATCGCAGTTTCCTGCACCAGAACACGCAAGTCGCTGAGCGTGCAGCCTGGAGCTTCACCAGTCTGCACGCCAGTTAGCAAATTTCGCTCCTCAATAGTTGAACCCATTTTGTCGCGTATTTTCGCAATTCGCTGGCTGTCTGACAAGTACAGAGGGTACCGCTCTCGGAGCAGGTTCACAACTTGGGACATATAGCTCACAGCAGTAGCCATAGCAAGACGGCCTCCTCGAGCACTTGGCTTAGTTTGCAAGAAAATGAAGAAGGCGGTTAGCAAAGAGTAAAAGTTTTGACTTGGTAGAGCATCAGGAATAGACAGCGACTTCGCAATACTAGCAATTGACTCGTCATTCATGTTAGCAAGAGATAAGAATTCGCTGAAGCACTTCATCGCCGCTGCCTCCTGCCCTGCTGTCCCTTGCGGGATGTCAAGCCCTCTCGGCGCCCGCTGCATCTTTTCAAATGGGAGAGGAGAGAAAGCAGACGAGTCACAGCCACCAACGATACAATCATGATTTGTATTGGGAATTTGCGGTCAAATATGAGTAATGCAACAATTACACTAAACTTTTGTATTGGACATTATTCTAGCAAGACTGTAAATTCCCAAAATAATTGGGAAAATGTTGGGATACACACGAATCGATCGTGATTGGCTAAATTCATTGAAGAACTTGTCCTGATTGGATAGATGCAATGACAGAGAAGCGCAAGGAATGCCAAGTTGGGAGAAAGCTTCCTTATCCTACAATAAAATCATTGCAGCCAATTTTCTAATTGTAGTTGTTGACCCCAATTTTATCACTAGTTTTATTGCAATTTTTATTTACGCAACGCTGATCCTAAGCTGTGAATGTTTGGCTCAGGTCTTTCGTTTTGAGACGGTTTCAAACGAAAAGATGCTTACGAACCTAAGTACGAATCGCGATTTAACTGCATCAATCGAAAGCGGCGTGTCTTATGCTTCGTTTAAGCTATTGAACGCTCCAAAAGGTTAAGAACTCGCGGAGTGACATCGGTCTATTCATCCCAGTCGGGACAAATCCGAAATTCACTAAAGTAAAGTATATTGTACTATATTTTTTGTCGTAGGGGTCTGTCTAGCAACAAGATCGACCGTATCATCGCCATTTAATGCAGCCATTGGTTGTAAGTTACAACTGCAAACATGTTAGTGATTTTCACAACACACTTACTTACAGTTAGTGCTGTTTGCAAACGCGTGTGTAAGTTTTCTGCTCTATCACTAGCAGATCAAATGAGGGGTCCCTTACTTTTGAGTACATTTCGCGGACTTTCGAGTAATGAGTAATGTGTACGGACTTCCGACTTCGTAAACTTCATTTAAACTCGTGCGCAGCGTCAACTTGAAACCATTATCTAAACTCTGAAGACGTTGCTTGTTGTGATGCCATTCACGGACACAAATAACGTGCTACATACCGTTTCGGCAATTTATATTTTGTTTTCTGCTAGATGACGCTTGGACTCTCTATTAGGTCCTCGTCCGTCTCCACGCCCATTCTCCCATGTATGTGTTCGGCTCGAGCGGCGACTTGCACTGCCTCCTTCCAAACGGGTGCCGAGTTTTTGAAGAGGCACTACAAAGTGTGTTCGGAGGCCCCATCCTCGCAAGCCACACTGAGAACCTCGTGGCTCAAACTCCCACTCAAGTTGTCGTCAATGTTATGTATTACATGTGGAAGCCAACCTCCTGCTGGCAGGGCAGAATTCCAATACACGACCCACATTGTGTGCGCAACTGAAATTCAATTTTGTCAATGTTCTGACCAAGCCAATTAGTTGAAACGCAGCATACATTTCACTTGGATTAATGGATAATGTCTAAACCATGGTTCGGTGAAGTGTTATGTTTAAGCCCAAGGCTCCTTCATTTTAGATTTGGCAGCGATGAAGTCAATGTACACTGCAATCAGTTTCTAAACCAACACTGGCTTAGTGGCTTCAACTTCCCTCACATAGTACATGTACACTCAATCGAGATGCTTCTGTTACCACGTCCATGCCAGGAAGCATTTAATAATGTCGCATTCAAGAGAGGCGTATCCGAGCAAACGCTCGAGTATCTTCTGTCGCGCATGACATCTATGTGGATCATGGCTTGCGCTGGATCACCACTTGTCAAGATGACCGGGGTCCATGGAGGTCAGATTTTGAACGCGCCTTGGAAGTCGCTGCTGCTCATGGGCATTTAGAGGTTGTGAAGCAACACACCGACTGGAACACTAGGTACTGGCTGGGAAAGTCAACTGCTCGCGTGTGCACTCGCCGTGGTGAATGCAGAGCAGCTATAATAATGGCAGCTGAGAACGAGCACTTGGCTGTCGTGCAGTGGCTTTATAGTCAGCGAACCGGTGACATTGGTAGCGTACGCTTGACCCATGGTGTTCAAGGTTCACCTGGCTGTGGTGAAGTGGCTCCATCTTATGGGGCATCGAGACGTGTCCGTAATCCAGTTTGGGTCCTGTTGATGCTTGAAGCACCAGAGAACTTCAGAAAATGTATTAACCAAAAATGCCTACCCGGGTATTATACATAAAGTAAGTGGTTATGTATTATATCACTCGTTTGCAGCCAAAAGAAATGTTGAATTAGCCACCGCACTACCGGTAGTTGAGGCAATCTTGACCAAATTCAGATCTACAGTACAGTATACCTATGCTCCAACAACCAACCAACGACTTCTCGTTGACGGCTTTGGCCTACCAACTCGAAAAAGATCCCTGTCCGTAGCCTGAACATATTATGGACAACCCACCACAACACCTGCGGCTGACAGCGCCTAGGATACTGTAGTCTATTCCAAGCTGCTTCATCAATCTATCTACAGTAAAGTTGCAATACAGAATGCAAATTCACGAAACAACGTAAGCAATGTTGAAGAAGTGCTAATCGCTGGCTTACCAGCACGAGGTTATCATTAAGTGAGTGTTCAAACTTTCTACATGTAGTGTCATATTGAAGATTCAGCTAGGTCTATATGAATTTAAAAAAAAAAGTGGGGGTGGACCAGCACTGCCATTTGTCGAGATTTTTAAGTTGGTATCTTGTACTCATTTTAGGCCAACGAGCTGTAGCCAACACTGTAGCTTACCATGACCGCGTTTCAGGCATCGGACACCCACTATCCACTGCAAAGATTGAGAAGAAGAAGAAAAAGCAACTGAGCTATCACAGCGCCGATACCGAATACCCGTCAATCACGAGTCGCAAGCGCTGATGTTCCTGGGTTTTCACACACGAGGTTCTTCCCCATGGACGCTGGGGGGTTTCCTCCTTGTGGTCCACACTTTCCTTGCTGTCGTCACTCTCGTCCGGTTTCTCGTTGGGTGAAAGGGTTTCTATGAAACTCGTAGCAGCGCCAAGCTGGGACTCCATCGCCATAACCCCGGGCGGACTCGGTTTTTGGTCGCGCCGCGCCAGTGCCTCCATGTCGATGCCGGCACGTCCATGTTGGCTCTCGTCTACCCAGTACGCGCGCAAGTGTCGTGTCACTTGGCCGACGCCTTCACTAGCTGTCGAACTCAGCGCGATCGATAAAATCCCCAGCGCGAAAGCCAACGCCAGCCCCAACACCATCGCCACCGCCTTCCCGCGCTGCATCTCGGCATCTTCAGCTACTGGTTCCTCCAGCGCAAGATCCAAAGTGATCCACCACGAAACAAGAATCTTGGCTCAAGATACAGAGTCGCGTTTCAAAGGTACCGCCAGGACCGCCCGATTTACAAGCCTCTAAATGGCGTCGCGGATACTACTTTGTGTGATATTGTCGCCAAAATTCTTATACATTCGAATCTACCACACCACTTTATCCTTGTGTAGTGTCTTAAGCCTTTAGAATGTTTTCGACCAGCCACCAAGCAATTACCTAGAAACACCATTTACCAACGTCAGGCTTCGTGAGATTTTCAAAAAGCAACTGAGCTGCGACCGTCGGGGCTTTACTGATAGTGTTGCGAATCGTGACACGAGAGCCATCTTCCTTGAAATCGGTATTTTCAAGCACCCACAACAGCAATTTGAAGTATTTCTTTTGTTCCAGTCCGTTCACCACGAGCGTCACACGATCCATTTCTGACAGCCACCAGGCCGCCTCAACGTAGCAGTCGTAACTGCGTTTTGTGCCGAGTTTGATAGCGGTAGATACGTCTAACGGAGTTCCATTCTCGACCAACCACCTCACCCCTCACCAGAATAATATGAGGCTCCTGATCTGCAGCCGCAAGATACTCGCGCTTTTCCTGCTCATTGTGACGACTGAAGAATTGTCAAGCCATCATCGCGTACCCTCCTTCCAAAGCTTGAGCGAGCATTATGCATACGAACGTCAGGAACCCACCGGCGTGGAATTGCTCCAAACATTTTAACACTTCGAGCCACGCTAAAGTAGCTGAGGATGCACACTGGTCCGATGATTCGTGCAAAGTATTCTGGAAACACTCGCATACCGCAATACGAGCGCCCAAATTGATTCTCCTGCCAGTTCGATAGAAGTTTTGTACCAGCACAAGAAGCACTTGCAGACGCCCTTGTCTACTGGCAGATCCGAGTCCCCAATGAGAACCACGTTGACTTGTATGTTGCGCAAGGTAAAAGGCCTCGCTGCCCACGCAGCAGCCAGCAAACTCCCATTGCAGTCGCCAATTCCGTTCTCATTTAGACACTTGACCACTTCCAAATGCCCATTAGCGGCTGCCTTACGCATGGCCGAATCGCTGCAACTTGCAGATAGATTTTCATGTAGCCATTTCACAACGTCCAGGTGCCCATTTTTCACAGCCCGATTCATTGCGCGTGGTGTACATCCTTCTTCTCGGCGGTGGTTATGCAACCACTGCAGGACTTGGAGGTGGCTATTTGCGGGATCCAATGCTGTCCCCGGGTTCCCATCCGTTTGGTGTTCATGCAACCACTTTATTACTTCTGGGCGGCCCCCCGAGGCCGCTGCACATGTTTCCATCGAAGTAAGTTGATCGTTGAAATGCGTGTCCAACCACTGAAGCATTTCCAAATCTCCATTCATTGCGCATCCCATGCAGCGGATCCGGAGCATCCCTTGTGGCATCGATCAAACAGCCATAAAACCACGTCGGCATGACCTCCACCTACTGCTTCATTCATAACCCTTGGAGTACACACTCCAAACAGCTCACGCGCTGGTGAAGCCACCGGATGATGCGGAGATGCCCTTTTCACGATGCACTCTCCATCGCGGATGACTTGTCGGTACTCGTATTGTTGAGGTTGTGAAACAGCCATTGCACCACTTCGAAATGCACATTACTGGCAGCATCCGACATTGCACGTGATGAATCAGCGTTGGTGTGTTCGTGCAGCCATTGCACGATTTCAAGATGGCCATTTGCAGCAGCTCGATGCAGAGCAACAGGGGAAGATAAACCTCGAGTGTGCAGCCACTTGAGCAGCTCCGTGTGACCATGTGCAGCAGCGCCTTCTGTTGCAAGTATCAAATATACCTTCTCAAATATACCTTCCTCAAAGGACTCGAGTCTCCGGCGCTGTCGACTCTTCTCAGTGGTCTTCCTTTTCTAACCTCCTTTAGGTTATGAGCCCAACCTACGTCAACTACTGGAGAAGTTTCGTCATACGACTCCGGCAGTGCGGACTACGAGCTTAGTGCCGACGAGTACTCGTGACACCTTCACTACCTGCGACGTACGAGAATCTACGGCGTGTGACAACGATAGCGTGTTGCACCCGTAACGTCCAGGCTTGCTATCCGACATCGATACCGACAAGGAAGCAAGAACAACAAGTCCCGGCGGAGCGAATACCAGCCCATCAGTGACGACCCCAGAACCAATTGATAACCTGCGGAATACGAAATTCTGCGGGAGGCGATAACTAAGACGTGTTGCACCCGTAGCGCCCAGGTCCTGGACTCCAGGCAACCATCCGAAGATAAGGCATCATCAGATCCCGACAAGGGATACCAACGGCGGAGCCTCAAGAGCAGAGCCCCAGCCACCAGTGAAAAACCCTCGGCTAACACCGAATCAACCGATGGGCAGCCCGATGCCGAGCTAGCACCACCAAGACCGCGTGGACAAGTTTCTGATATCGCAGCGCCAAAGGCAGAATCGAAACAGCTACGGTCTACAAGCGATGCATTTCAAGGAGCAGCAAATGAGCTGCGAGCCGTTGACTTCATCAACCAGGCTTATCACGATGTGTAGTGAGTACGAGCTCGAGTGGCAGATTGCGATCTTGCCACCACTCTGCCACAGTGCAGTTCCCAAGTACCCGAGTACCATGCTTCACCTTCGACGTTATGCTTGAGGGGGAGTGTAGCAAGTAGGAAAACCTTGCAAGCATTACTCAGCGGTGATATTGTAGCTAGCGCCAACCTCCCTGCCCCATCCATTACAGGTCGTCAGCCAGCCGTCATCGATTGCAGACCTCGGCACCTAGGTAGCGGGTTAGCCGCGGTGGCATCAGCACGAGGCAGTTCTTACAGTGGTCAACCAGACAGCTACTGGCCGCCACCTCGTGACGGATAGAGATGACTGGGAGGAAGGGTTATCGGCACCGACGGTCGGGTAGCCCCGCCGCCTGCTCCCCGCAACTAGCCCGGTTACATGCAACGGACGCAGGTGTCCTTCACCCGTAGGTACACGTGGACCCTTTGTCCCTCGGTCGAGGCGCTCCGCCACAACCCCCGTAGTCTCTCTCGACGGTCCCGTCGCTCTACTTGTCCACTGCCCTCATCATGTGCGAGCTCTACCTCAGCTTACCTCTCCCTTACTGCTCGACTCCTCGCCGACGCCCTCCGCCGCAGTACGAAGGTCAGCAACCCGTGCTTCCGGCGCAAATCAATGTATTAGTCTCAACTCGCTGCACGTCCCGCAACAAATCTTAACTGAGGGTCGAGTCGACACGGCCGCCGCTCGCCTCCCACCTATCTACCGTAGCCCCTCCGTCGCCTATACTAACTCTAGCTACAGCGCCCTTCCTATCCTACTTGGACCTCTCCCCCTTCTTGTCGACTCGACACTTCTTGTCCTCACGTTCGCTCCGCTGGCGTCGCCTCGCCTCCTGGCATGCTTCCACCTTGACTCGCCTTCACACGTCGTCCCTCCTGCGATCTTCGGCAGTCACGCTGCTTCAACTTCAATCGCCCACTTCCAGCGTTGGTCGGTGGCTCCAGCCCGCTGACTTGCCCCTGCCACCGGCCGCACGTCCAGCAGCTCGGACACCCGGCTGTTGGCCGTGTGATGGGCCACACAACTACAATATGTTACCAATGAGGTGATATATGTCATTGCGAGTGCTCATTCTGTCCAGGCAACAAGTGTAGATAGGTTAGAGATCTAGCCTCACGTCTCCAAGGGGAATGCCCCTATCCATGTCCGTACGGAGCCCCTGCTCCAAGTGTGTTCTCATTCTCAAATATACCTTCCTCAAAGGACTCGAGTCTCCGGCGCTGTCGACTCTTCTCAGTGGTCTTCCTTTTCTAACCTCCCTTACCTTCAACACACCAATTAAGGTCCGACCCCCACGGCCCTCGGCCGTCTTGGCGGTCCATCATCCACCTGAAGCGTGCAAGTGTCCACCTTTGGTGGCAACTTCCGCCACATCCCTCCACTTGGGTGTCGTCCGCTTGATATTGTACTCGAGAATGGGCAGTGGGGCACCACGTTCGCATGCTGCGAGGAGAACGTTCTGGTCTAGCTCGACCGCATAGTCGTCGATAAGGCGTTCGATATGGGGCAATGAGCCACGCAGACAGCTGCCGCGGACTACCTTAGCTGGCGACGGCCATATCCACTGCGATGAGGCTGGCATAGCTTCTGGAAAAATAGTTTGTGCGTCGAGGCACCAACTTTCGTCGCCAAGCGTCTTTCGTCAGATTGGACCCGAGACCTGTTTGATTGATAAGTACTTGACGAGCTTGAAAGAATTGCGGTACTTTTGTTGGACATTGGGTTTTCAGAATTTGGTTCCAATTCGTAGACACTGTTGAATTATTCTCTTCGATTCTACCCTATAGCTTCGCCGCTCTCATTGTATTGTACTAGTGTTTACATTTACGCACTGAGATCATCCAGTTCAAAGGGAAGACGCAGTTGATGCTTTTTGTTTTTGCCGACTTGGACCCAGCAGATTCTTCTAGCTGCAGAAGGCAGTCCCCTTTCGCTTGTAGCCAGTGTTGGCACACGAACCGAGAGTCGGCGTGAAGGCTCGCGTAGATTCTGAAATGAATTGTTTGTTTAGCTTAGCTTAGCTGAAGTGTTAGCCTTGAAGCTTCAACCAAAGTTTTGACGCTACCACTTCAACGGCCAGCACTTCTGCGTGGTTATGAAAGTTGTCAAGTGATGACTGGTCATCTTTACTTATGCAAATATTGACCTATTACTTACCGCGTTTCACTCAGCTAAGTGTACGCGAAAATGCTGGTTCGCAAACGATATGCACGAAGTATTATTTCGTGTCAATATGATCCCGGTTTTACAGATGAAACGGACGCTCGAATCAAGCCACTTATGATCAATTGAAGCTGAGCCGCTGCTAGTAAAGGACACCACGCAGTCTTGGTTGAGGCCAACCAGTTTGGACTTCAGCTGTGTTATCAGCGCCTGTTCGTGCACTTTTACGACATCGGATTTCAAATTTTAGACCCAGAGCTTCGAGAAATACTTCGAAGTAGCATCCAACATAGACCGGCTAGAAGTAGTTCATTGGCCGTGAAGCCATCCAGGCGGTAGATAATGCATGTTTAGGATTTTCCGATTGGCATCTTTTGATTTCGTTAAGTACCCATCAATCGAGCAATACGAAACGCGAAGTTGCTTGGTTGTTCCTGGCTGCTCATAAAGTCAAGTACCCACCACATGTCCGCCACGTTAGCCAGGTTTTTAGTCAGTATTATTGAGCCCACGAAGTCATATTTAGCAGGACTAAGTACAACTTGGAAAAATACTGGTCTGATAGCTCGAGCTTCGAGTTAAATTAACGAAGTGAACTCAGAAATGGGTATGAAGAGGCAAAAATGCCCTATGTCTTCGGGGTCGATGGATGCATTCAACAGAAAGATTAATGTCTTCAGCCCTATCGGCAATGCTATCGGACCATCAGTTCCGAATCGGCGCAGCGATGAAGCCGAAATCGCTCCTGCACGCCGCCGCCCAGTTCGTCTGCCACCATTGGTTTCCAGCTCAAGCGGGTTGTCTTCTTCAAGTGGTATTGGTAGACTCTATTGATGCTTACTTAGGTCCTCTGTTCCCCCAGAAAGCGTTGAATGCTGCATGCCAGGGAGGGACGCTCGAATTCACTCTGGAATATTTTCTGTCACACACGACACCCAATTGGAAGGAGGCGTTGCGTGCTACAGCACAAGGAGGATATATCCATGTCCTGCGCTGGATGACGAATCGGCAGGATGGTCGAGGCCCATGGAAGGCGGATTTTGAGAATTTGTTGCATCTCACGGGCACTTTGAAGTTGTCAAGTGGTTATTTAAGCGGGGCACCGACATCGGCAGATTGGAAAGGCTGAGTCGAATTTCCTTGACCGAGACCAGGTTGTATGAGCACGATGTGTCCATGGCAGTAGGTCTGGCGGTTAGACACGGACATCTAGCCGTGGTGCAGTGGCTCCATGAGTATCAAAGGTACGGCAGCTCGATGAACCAAGCTGTTGCGAACGGACACCTCGCCATGGCGCAGTGGCTGCACAAGGTCAACGAAGAAACGTGCTCAGCTCATGCCGCTGACGGGGCCGCTAAGAATGGACACCTTGACATGTTGAAATGGCTGCATTCGATCAACCTTCTTCCGAGTACGACAATTGGGGTGGACGGAGCTGCCGGAAACGGGTAGTGGAATGGCTGTACCAAGTTCGACATGGCTGCATTTCTCAACGAGCGCTGTATCCAGCGGCCAGTAATGGTCATCTGGAACTGATCGAGTGGTTTTATGAGAATGTGCATATGAACTATCAGCTCTCTGTACCATTCATGAATGTTACGTTTGCGGGGGTCATTTGCACGTGTTAAAATGGGTGCACGAACACTTACCCAACGTGTTTGACCACTCCGATACAGATTGCGCTGCAGGAAATGGTCACTTGGACGTTGTCACATGGCTACATGAGCACCGTGCTCCAGACGGGCATCGACTCACGCTGCGCGGTTTGGACATTGGGGGGTTCTTATATGGAATCATAGGAATTGCCCGAGTACATTTGGCCCCGAGGCGATGGATCGAGCAGCTGAAAATGGTCATCTTGAGATTGTCCAGTGGTTGCATGAAAATCGCCCCGAAGTGCACGAAGGACGCATTGTACTTCGCTGCTGCTGAAGGGCACCTCGACATTATTTTGTATCTAATTGAACACCGGACGGAAGGATTTCCAAGCAATGTGAAAGATTCAGCTCGAGATATCCACGTAAAGTGTCACTTTGGTGGTCGACGCTCGAATCCAGCGAGTGATGAACAATTGAAGATGCTGCAGACTGTTTTCAGGCCGCGGTCTCGTTTCGTTCAAGGTTTTTTGCGCTGTTTAGCGTGGATTGCATGTTCTGAAGGCAACATTGCCATTCTAGACTGGGTCCACCAATTTGGAGTCGAGCTGCGTTCGACAGCTCCGATTGGTAGCGCTGTTGGTCGTGGCGACGTTAAACTGCTGCAGTGGTTTTATGAGAATGGGTTTGAAGTTACGGGTCCGGGTCTGCTTGAGCCAGCAGCTGAAAATGGCCGGCTAGACGCCGTTCGTTGGTTGACGGAGCACGGGGTTGCAGTACATTTGCTTGAGGTGGCCAAGATTGCTGCGAAACACAAGAATGTCCCGGTAATGCGGTGGCTCGTTGAACAGGGTCCATCGCTTGACTTGCCAACAGCAACGTTGTTGGTTGTGGAATATAGATACATCGAGGTAGCTTGGTGGGTGGCTGAAAAGGACCGGGGAGACCTTGTACTGAAGGCACTGCAAAACAACGATCGAAATGTTGTGTGGTGGATTCTAATGCATACGCAATTTCAAGAGGAAAACACCCGACGCGAGATTCACGACGCTATCCAGCGATGCCCGAGAGGTACTCAGCAATGGCTCAAGAATAATATGAATGATGTGTAGGCTTGCCACTGGTGTTTCTCGCAATCGATCAAGAGGCGGAGGGCTGGAAGCTAAGGGATCGAACTGTCCAGTACTTTGTGAGTACAAAAGTGTATCACACGCGTGCATGTTGGTACCAACTTGGTAGCTTTAGCAAACCAGAGTATGATTCTCATTCCAGCTTCTTACAAAATAACAACAGCTCTTCATGACCAAACGTACCGAATGTCATGGTACATGTTGAAGTGGGCACTATTACTGTCGATGAATTGCTGCTAGTCGTGTCAGCTCTCGTAAGCTAATGAGTTTACCAAGAACGCCTCCCCATTACAGTCTCGACATTGTCCTTGCTGCCCTTACTGTCTTCACTGTTGTCGCTGTCTTCCGTCTCGCCAAACATCGCGATCTGCTCTCCTCTCCGTGCGTCTTCGATCATGTAGCCAACTTGAGCGATGATGGCTATCTCCGCAGCTTCTTCAGCAGCTTCAGCACGCTTCTCGGCCTTCATTGCTGCCTCGAGCGCCGCCAGGGCGATCTCTTCTGCCTTCTCAGCCTTCGCTTCTGCATGGGCGATTGCATCGGGTGAAGGCTCCCAGTCGTGTCGCTCCTCGTGTCGGGGTGGAAGGGCCTCCATGGCGCTCTTGGTAGTTGTAGTGCGAGCGTGGCTGTCAGTCACGGCCTTAGCCGGCGCTGGGGTGATTGATTCCGTGCCGGCAACGCGGAGCTCGGACTCCATCGTCATAATGGAAGGCTTTTGGTCCCGCCGAGCCTGCGCCTCCATCACTGCGGCGAGCGGTGGGTTCGGCTTCTGGTCGCGTCGAGCTTGTGCCTCCCGCGCCGTAGCATCAGGCGGGCTTGGCTTCTGGTCGCGTCGCGCTTGAGCTTCCATTGCAGCGTCGGCAGGTCCGTGGGTGCTCTGGTCGGTTAAGAACTCGCGCAGGTGCCGCGTGACGTGGTCGACGCCGTTGGTAGCTGTCGGATCCGGTGAAGTGCTCACAATGGATAAAAGTGCCAGCGTGAAGGCCATCGCCACGCCAAAGCCCACCGTCATCGCCTTCATGCGCTGTCGGGAGCGCAGCTTAGCGCCGCGTAGCCTCGATTTGCCCGGAGCCTTCGTCATATTCAAATAGCGTTTCCTCGAGCGCAGGATCCGAAGTGACCCCTGCAAAGCGCCTCAAGGGGCATGAGCTGGAGCCGCCGCGACCGCCCGTCCGCGCTCACATCGCTACTTGACAGCGCCGAAGCTCCATTTACCTCTCCATCAAGCTGGCACAACACACCCAAGCTGTGAGCCGAGGCAGCGGTCGATCACGCGGCATGACTGCCGTCCCACGGGTGTCAACGGAGACCGAGCGTCACGCCATCTTGCACCTGTACGCCAGCGATTCCCGAGTGGTATGTGAGCACGCACGCACGACAGCAAACATCCTGGCCATCCAGCCTTCTCTCTGCATCATGCAGGGCGAACCGACCGCTTCGATATCGAGCGGACGCGTCTTGGGGAGTCCTGCGTGGCGGCATCCCATCTAATAGCGTGTCCGGCCATGGGAGCGAACGCCCCGCGTGCAGTTGAAGCTGTCTGTCTGTTATTGGCATTATGGTACTTCGTCCTAAGAAAGTTCTTCTTCACCCTATCTCGCTCGCTTCCTCGTCATATTTACACGCTTGAGTCTCGCTCGCTCATGCCCGTCTGAAGCCGTCCTGGATGTACGTGCTGGAGTCGTACGTGGCGGCGCGCTCGACGTCCAGCTCCATCTCGGCCAGCACCGGGTCCGTGTTGAGCTCCTTGCGCGTGACCTGGCGCAGCGGGTCCTTCGCCGGGGGCTTGACCCACGTGTTGCGCATCCAGGCGCCCCACGCCACGCTCAGCAGGAAGCTCACGAAGGCCATGAAGCACAGCGCTGCGGCCGACGCCAGCAGCGCGCAGCGCACCACGCCGCCCAGCGCGTCGCAGTAGCGCACGTAGTCGCACGCGGCCAGCGCGCAGCCGGCGCTCATGAAGAGCATGGTGAAGACGGCGTCCACGCCGAAGCTCCAGGGCGCGGGCATGCTGGCGCAGCGCAGCCCGAAGACCAGCAGCAGGAAGAAGCCGCCGTACAGCACGGCGGCGAACGACACGACGAGCACGAAGTTGACGGCCGGCCCGCCGTAGTACACGGTCACCTCCTGCGGCGCGCCGCCCTCGACGTGCAGCGTGATCTTGCGCGCCTCGAAGCTGGCGGCCACGAGCGCCAGCGCCACCGCGCACGTGGCGAACTGCAGCGCGCGCAGCGTCAGCGAGATCTGCCGGTCATACTGCTGGCCGCAGCGCAGCCGGGCGGTCTTCATCTAAGGCTGGCTGGATAGTACTGTAGGATAATAGGCTCTGTAGGTTCCAGCGGCGTGGAGCGAATTGAGCGGCGCCGACGCAAATGTAAAATGCTGCACGCGTCGTCTTGAGTCGCCCAGCCTTTATGCCCTTGAATGAAGAAGGCGTTCGAACGTAGCCTAGCCCTGGGCGCAAAGATGCGGGTTTGGGTGCGTATGTCAGTACATTTAAACATCATTTGGACACTATGTTAGTAGATGGATTCGTATTTAGAGGAAACACATGTGATAAGTATGCATTCGATTATTACTAATGAGTTAGATACTGTTTTAAGCGCTTGGCGGAGACAGGCACCACGGGCAAGGGCGCACTTTGTCGCAGACATTTTGCTGGCGGGCTCCATTTCATAGCGAAAGGCAGGGTTAGCGCAGAATGGAGCTGCTTGGCACTGGAAGTGTATGCCGGTATTCTACACGGGAACTATAATATAATGCGCTGGGTATTAGTGGCGTTTATCACGTATGACGAAGCGTCCAGCTGGAGCGCTTGAGTTGACGCGCGGTTGGTGCTGCTGGCGCGCGAAATGAGCACGGCGTGCCCTAGTCCGTGCT